TACAAGGAATTTCCTATGGTTAGAGTACATCCTTTGGAAAACATTAATACAGAGTATACTTTGGCAGAAAGGTAAGAAGAATGAAAAAATTAGTCTACCTGAGTTGAGAAATGTTAAAGGTGGATAAGTTTGAAGGTTTGGTGAGTAAAAGTACAAGGAAGATCATATAAAACTTTTGTTATAAAGTGATTTCATCGTACAGAAATGCATTGGAAATTGATTGATGGTCCATTAACGTGAGTGGGCAACTTTACTTTTCACAGCATTCGCTTTTATAATACTTCCGATCCTAATTATAAGACAGTTGACTAATTTGAAAGATTAAGGAAGTAAGTTAAATTAATTATTGTCCTAAATAGGTGTTGTCTTTCTTAAAATATCCTGCTAATCAAGTGTATTAACTAGAACTATTATTGTTAAAAGGGCTACTTTGAAAAAAAATTTATAATATGAGAGACAAAGTAGATTGAGATCTTTATTTAGGACCAAAATAAAAATCAAACAAGGTCTTATATTAAGGACCGGAGGTAGTAACATAATCTGAATGTCTAATATAAATTTTTATTCTACGGATTGATCAATAAGAGAATTGCAATCAGGTCTCAAAAAGAGATTTAATTATCTTAAAGTCTATTAATAAGTGAAAAGTAAACAATAACAATTTTAGAGTAGAGAATAACAACAGGTTCAGGATTTGTCATTAAAATTTTTTGTATTATTAAATTTTTTTTGAGACCTCGTAATAATTCTCTTTGATCTAATGCAACAAAAAAAAACAGTGTGTCTTTATTAATTGTGAAAGACATATAAACCTTTCAATATTTGAATTGATTAATAAGCATAACAGATAGTTTAATCTTCCCACGATTAATAAAATGATGTGTGTTATTTTAGCTGCATCAAACTATATCACAGAAACTTGCATTAGACATCCACATCCATTTAACTTCAGAGGATGGAGAAGAACAGGGCACGTGATTGAAGTATAACTTTCAAAAGTTTGTTACTGTGTTACTACCTTCGATTCTTAATATAAGATCTTGTTTAACTTTTATTTTGGTCCCAATTATAAGATCTCAATACATTGTCTCTCATATTTATTATTTTTTCCCAAAATAGTTCATCTAATAATGGTAGTAGTTCTACCCAATAAACTTGATTAGCAAGGATATTTTAGAAAAGACAATATCTATTTATTACAAAAACTAACTTAACTTATTTTTTAATCTCTTAAATTAGTTAACTAACTCTTATAATTAGGATCGGAGGAAGTATTAAATAAAGATGTTGTAAAGATCTATTATACGTTGATACCATATGGTTTAATCTTTATTGAAAAAACTTGTTATAATTTTCTTAAATGACACACACAAATCTGGCAAAAAAAAAAATGATATCCGCAAATTGTCATCTAAATCTTTGTGATGATTAATGTCGTATACTGCGGATATGAAATAGAGTCTCCCATTCAAAATAAAGTAAGAAATAAATAATTAAATATTAATCAAATTTTAGTATGACGTAGAGAAATGATGGCGTGCATATGATTTTTCTATCCTTGTTTACTTTTTCTTTAATCTGTAATTATGGTATTTATAATTAATTTGCAAGTGGAAAGGATGTGATGGCATTCTCAACATATGCTCCCATCGGGGGCAGCCAGAGTAATAATTAATTGAATTTTGCCAAAAGAATTTAGTTTATGTAGTGAAAAGTATTTCTCTCTTTTTTTTTTAATTTTTTCTTTTTTAATAATAGTGTTAATTATTGTGTCTCTGTCAATGATGCTTTATATTTCTATAACCGCAAGCAATTCTTAACTCGGTTTAGTGGATGCCTGTTATTCTTGAAGCTTCCCTCCATCACTTGATAAATAGACATACGAGACAAAATTCGAAAGAATGAATCATACTATTGTAGCTCATAAATAATACAATACATATTACTACCTCTTGTTCTAGTTATTACCCATAATTAGTAAGGATATTTTAAAAAAAATAATATCTATTTATTATAAATATCTAATTTAAATAATTTTTTTAATTAGTCAAATTAATTAACTAGTTTTTATATTAAAAACCATAGATAGTATTTAAAATTAGTATGATTGGATTGGAATTTTGTAATTTGCATAAAATCTAAGATAAAATAACTAACACATTTTTTTAATTTTATATAAGCACTAAATACCAATCAATAATAAATTATCAATAAATAAAAAAAATTGTAGTAAATAATATTCTTCATAAATTATGAACAATGCAATGCATGGAAAAAAGGGGGGGGAAATTTTGGACATTCTTCATAATATTATTGGGCTTTGATGGCCCAGAAATTAGTAAATGGGTTATTTTTCCCTACCGAACGAGCCCATATGAAACTTGGGCTTGATAACACACAAGCCCATTGTGCCACCCCTTATCGAGGCATCTTTCATGGTAATAATAATCACTAATCTGCAATCTTCCCTCATCTTTATTTCCTTCGTCAAAGTCATATTGATTAAATTTGTAAACTATCAGATAAAAACTTTATATAATACTATTAATGAATTTTAAATACAGGCTTAATGATTTTTTACCAAGAACAAGCTTAAATTAAATCCTAGTTGACTTTAGGAATTAGAATTACGCTATTTTCCCCCAGAAAAACATGAGTAATTAAAAAACGTGAAAGGATGAGAGCACGTGCATGATTAAGGGGGAGATTTAGAGGGCGACGAGTGGCTAGTCGCCAGCAGCAGACAAGATAACGAATGAATTGTGGGACCATGGCACGTGCAATGGTCTGTGTGGACCCCAGCGGCCCCGCTCAACGGCTCCATACGCCTCTCTTTCCCTTGGCCACTCTTCCCTCATGCGGTCATGTGTAGTTTTTGGACTGCATTTTTCGCTCGTATGACGATTATAGATGCATTCCATTAGTCTTGGAATTGGATTTATTTAGACTGAATTTGAGTGGATTATAATTTATTTGTTATTTAAATTAATGATACTCTTATTTATAAGTCATTTTCAACATGTTTTATATAAATAAAAAAAAACTTAAACTTCATTATTTCTTTTAAAATTCAATAACTTTTCAATTTTATTCTTATTTAATATATATGATGCAGAGATACCTATCTCTTAATTTAATGGTGAATGCTAGCAGTAAGAAGAGGGTGTTGAGTAATAGGATGATGGACAAGCAAAGACTTTAACTGTGTTTAACAAATCAGATTGTTCGTTTTTAGATGTACATCAGTAGATTAAAACTAATAATTGAATTACTAACTTGTGTTAGCACAGAAGATGACAACAGTGATTTGAATCCTAATTCTTGTGGATAGAACAAATAAAATCAGCAAGAACATGTCATGGGCTCTCCGCATTTGAAAAGAGATTACCTCTCGTTGTCGTTGAAAGATGCTCTGATCCCATAACAAGTTGTTTGGAAAAAAAATAAAAAATAAAATGAGCTCTACTTGTTTGGATTAGTTGCGGAGAAATAATAATTTTACATTATATGATGTAAATACGTCAACCTAAATGATATTTAGAACTCTAACTTTACAAGTTGAAAAGAAGTAATATTGGAAGAGTTACTTTCCATTATACCTAGCAATATTTAAAGCCAACATGATTAAATTAGATTAATAATAATTGGCTTAAAAATATTTTGGTCCGCTATGTTATTGTCTTACTAATTCGGATTTAATTTTATGAGTTGTAATGTATCATATTTATGTCCCAAAGGGACTTTGACAAAAATTAATAACATTATTTTTTTTTTCCAGAAATAACATAAAATACTGACTGAATCAGTATAACTTCAATAAAACATATTTGCATTTAAACAACTTGACTAAACCATTTGCGACGTTTTTAAATAACATTGCCATTGATTAACCATTTATTCTTCTTCTCTTTCTAGATAAAATCTCCCCCAAATGATGCTGCTCTAAACACGATGTCATGTATTTTTGTTTCACGAGCAAACATTGACAATTAAAGAGCAAGCAAACCAAATAAAAAATTGTGAAAAAAATTCTTTGATAATTTCGGAATTGAAGCTCATTTGAAAACTTCCCATAACATTCCAAAACCCTGCATAATTTATTGTTTACAAATATTTATATTAACAAAAATATAAATATAAATATCATAATTAATTATAAATACTTTTACTCTCAAAATGACTTGTTTTATTTTATTGGTATTGCATTCTGATTCACTTTGTATACCAATATAAAGTTTTTTCAATTAAAAAATTATCAGCAAATGCTATAATATCATAAAAGAACTCTTTTTATTATTTAAATAAAAATGCCAATTTAAAATGGAAAACTATTATAAGGTAAAAGCCCTCAGATTTTATTTATTGGAATGATCTGTAAAATTAGCAGCGTTGGTTGCAGGAATCAAATCCAAATGCCAATTCCATGATGGTGCAGCGTAGTGACACATAACTTGATTCCTCTTAAAAATAAATAAAATACGAGCCACCCATAAAATAATAACAACAAAATAAAAAGGGGTTTAAAGGGCCTCGTAATGATGAAGGGAGATAAAATATGCCAAGAAATTATGTCTACGATTTTAAATTTAAATTATTTTTTTAAAAAAATTATAGTTATTTTAAAAGTTATTATCAAATTTTGAAGACTTATTACTCGTGGGAGTATCTTATTTTTAAAAAAATATTGTCAGATTTGAGATCGATCATATTTTTATATCAGCTTAACATTTTTTTTTTAAAAGTTGGTCAAACAACAATATTTTTCAAAATTTTACAAGCCCTTAACAAATTGACAAAAAAAATTTTTGACCTTGCAAATTGACAATAATTTCGATGGTGCAAAATAATTTTTTAACTTAAACTTTTTATTATAATTGTCACTATTTATAATATTAATATAAGAAGTCATCCTTTTTTTCCAATGTGATAATAAGTTTTTATACTTCCTATTAGTATTTTTTTTTCCAATTATTAAGAATCAGCGCATAGAGACCAAGTTGTCTTAGCTCGGAGACACTCTTTCTCTCTCCTATCTCGCTCTCTCTTTCTCTTTGTATACGCGATCTCTTTCACTGCCTTTCAATTCGGAAATTTCTCCATACATCACTGCAAAATCCCTCTCCATTTCTTGTATTGTAGATTTTATTTGTCTGGTTTGGGCTCTTGCGGAGTTCCGAACCACTCAGGGATGTTCTTACTCAGATTTGAGCTAAAATTATTCAGTGGGTTGAGGTCAGATTCACACCGTTGAGTGTTGAGAGTAAGTCCCGTTCTTTTGTGCATTTTCAGTTCCTATCGTGTCCAATTTTAGTGTATGATCAATAGGTTTAGTAGATTTAGCTGTTTCTTTGCTCAATAATATGTTAGTAGTGGATTAGTGGATCTGTGTTTTGAGGCGATTCTTTTAAGCAGTTGGGGATGGTAAACTTTCTTGGGATTTCGAGAAATTCGGTGAAGTAAAAGAGTGAATTTGGAAGCTTGAAGTTTCATTCCAAACCTTTTGGGTCGTTGGCAATCTGAGTACTGGAGCACCCGCGTAAGGGGAACCCATGTTGCAGATTAGTTTAATCGAGGGCCAGCACACTTTTTCTTTGACGATCTAATATAATCTAATGATGGTTCAAGCTAGAAGTTCGTATGGTTTCTCATCCTATTTTCATGCCTAGGATGTGGAGCATATTTAAGTTGGACTGTAATAAATTTATGTTGATGAAAGGTTGTGAATGTAATGAATTTTTAAGTTTTGAGAATTTAGTATTCTAAGATATGAATGCAATTTATCTATTCTGATATCTTGCAATTTTTGAATTATGAATTAAATATATAGCATGCATATACTAAACTCATAGGCAAAAGACTCATGAACTGATTGGGAATGCACATTTTCCTCTTTTGCAGGTCTAGTGTTTCACTGTTGAGCTACTTCTTTTGTTAATATTGAATCCCTTACTGGTTAAGCTTATGATTGGATCATAATATTGATTGTTTCGTCTCCTGATATTAATGGGAATATCTTAAGAAATTTGCTTGCCACACCTCAATATATCAAAGACAAATATGCCTCCATGGTGGGGGAAATCATCATCAAAAGAACCCAAGAAGAAAGGAAGTAAAGAAAGTTTCATTGATGCATTACAAAGAAAACTTAAAATCCCATCTGAAGGTAAGGTAAGTGGCAGGTGTGGAGGACCTCGGAGAAACTGCAATGACACAGTTTCAGAGAAGGGGGCTCAGTCTCCAGTTGAATCAAGGTCTCCTTCACCATCCAAAGTAGCACGGTGTCAAAGTTTTGCTGAAAGGCCTCTTGCCCAGCCACTACCACTTCCTGGCAGGAATCCTGCATGTATAGGACGAACAGATTCTGAAATTTGCCTATCATCAAAGTCAAGAGGGGAGAAGGGTTCCAAGACATCGTTGTATCTGCCACTTCCAAGACCTGCATGCATACGTAGTAGGCGAAAGACTGCAGATTTAGATGGAGACCCTATCACTGCCTCTGTATGTAGTGACAGCTCTGCTGACAGTGATGAGCCAGCTGATTCATGTCAACGCAGTCCACTGGCAATTGACTCAGAGACTGGGACTAGAACTGCTGCTGGCAGCCCTTCCAGGTACAACAATCACCATAGTGTTACTGTATTGAATATTTTGTTAGATATGGGTATCTAGCTTATTTGTGACACGTGATATGGTTGCTTTTAAAATTTTTTTCTTTTTTAGTCATCCCTGACAAAAGTATTGCTCTATTTCTGAAGTTCAATGCTCAAGGATCAATCATCTACTGGTTTGCAACTAAATTCAAGAGAGTTCAAAAAGCCAGCAAACATTCTGAGTAATCATGTATCTCCTCCGTCCCCCAAACGGAGACCTTTAAGCAATCACGTGCCAAATCTGCAGGTTCCTCCCCATGGTGCTTTCTATAGTGCTCCTGACAGCTCCAAGTCAAGTCCATCAAGAAGTCCACTGAGAGCGTTTGGCCCAGAACAAGTGCCGAGCTCTGCTTTTTGGGCTGGAAAGCAATATTCAGAGGTCAATTTTATTGGATCTGGGCACTGCTCCAGTCCAGGTTCTGGTCAGAACTCTGGGCATAATTCAATGGGAGGGGACATGACAGGACAGATATTTTGGCAACCAAGTAGGGGTAGCCCTGAGTATTCTCCTGTTGTTAGCCCCAGAATGACTAGTCCTGGTCCGAGCTCTAGGATTCAGAGTGGAGCGGTCACACCCATTCATCCTAGATCTGGGGCAACACCCACTGAATCACAGACTGGATGGGTTGATGATGGGAAACAACAGAGTCATCGTCTGCCTCTTCCACCCCTAACAGTTACAAACTCCTCACCTTTCTCTCACTCAAATTCAGCAGCAACATCTCCATCTATGCCAAGAAGTCCAGGAAGAGCAGATAATCCTTTGAGCCCTGGCTTTCGATGGAAAAAGGGAAAGCTGCTTGGAAGAGGCACATTTGGACATGTCTATGTTGGCTTCAATAGGTATGCACTTTGGACAATACGTCATTAATTTATTACAAATCAGATGAAAGATATTCCATTTTCCTTATGTATGCATTATATTATATATACTGAAATGAAAAGGTTTGTCTTTTAAAGTGAAAATGGTGAGATGTGTGCAATGAAGGAGGTGACGTTGTTTTCAGATGATGCCAAGTCCAAGGAAAGTGCTAAGCAATTAATGCAGGTGATTTGATTCCCTTTTAGATGTTGGAAATTTTCAAGTGGGTGAATAATGCCTTATCTTCGTGAGGAGCATAACAGCTTCTAGTTTGTTTTAAAATTTACGTAGTTATAGAGATTTTATTCTGAACTTTCTGGCAGGAAATTGCTCTATTAAGTCGATTACGGCATCCCAATATTGTGCGGTATTATGGTTCTGAAACGGTAAGTTTGATCTTTCATGTATGCTTATTAAATCCAATTGGCTAAGAGATGTCTGGTTGAAAGTTATTAATTACAGGTGGTTAAACTAAAAGCACAGCAGTAAAAATCTGTTAACAATATGGGTTGTGTACCATACTTATAGAAGCTGCAAATAATATTCTTGAACAGGTAGATGACAAGCTTTACATATACCTGGAATATGTATCTGGAGGTTCCATATATAAACTTCTTCAAGAATATGGGCAATTTGGTGAACTAGCCATCCGCAATTATACCCAACAAATTTTGTCGGGACTTGCTTATTTACATGCTAAAAATACTGTCCACAGGTGAAATATGTTGTCTATTCATGCTCTGGATGGTTTTACGTGTGATTTGCTGTATAATTTTATTTTTCTGAAAGATTAATACGTCTATCTCTATAATTGTATTTACTTGTAAAGGGACATCAAGGGAGCAAATATACTTGTAGATCAAAATGGCCGGGTAATCAAGCTGGCGGACTTTGGCATGGCAAAACATGTAAGTTATGAGATACTTACTATCCTTAACATCTGTATTGAAGCTAAATCAAATAGATATGTAAGTTTCATCCCGGTGCTTACTCATATCTTGAATTAAGGATGAAACTCGTTAATACAGTCCAATTTTTTTGATGATTCTGGCTTCCCGCTAGGGTTATTTGCAATTTCCATGAAGATGCCAAGGTGCTGCTGCAGCTTGGCAAGTATACTGACGGTAGCTGATAAAAGGCAAAACACAGGAACAGGGAAAAAAAATTCTACCTAGAAAAGAGAATGGTAGATACCAGAACTGATGTAGAAGTGAGAATAAAAAGGGCAATTCAAGAACTGCCTAGAATCGCCATTCTTTCGCAACTGTATCATTAACCATGATGTCCACATTCCATGTTGTAAAGAATAAGCAGTTAGCTGATTTTCTTATTGTTTAATATTCTTTAATCTTACTTTTTAGAAAATCAAAATTATATATTTATGTTTTTTATAGCTCAAAAAGTGACCCACATGACTGCAATTATTGCCTATTGTATTGAAGTTGGAAATAATACATCTTTTTTGTTTTGTTTTTGTTTTTTAATCATTTCCTGCTTATGGTACAATCAGTGTGAAATTGCTTGATTTATTTTGTCCATCTTATACCTTGTATGGTGTGCAGATAACAGGGCAGTCATGTCCATTATCATTCAAGGGAAGTCCTTATTGGATGGCTCCTGAGGTTATATATATCTCTTCTTTTAGGTTCTATTCTCTGTACTTATAATTATATTTTAGTATTGTTAATCATTGTCTACACTTTCTGTTTACCTAGGTCATAAAGAACTCTAGTGGCTGCAGCCTTGCTGTGGATATATGGAGTCTTGGTTGCACAGTTTTAGAAATGGCTACAACTAAGCCTCCTTGGAGTCAGTATGAAGGGGTAATTATTTTTGTCAGTTAACTGCATCTCTTACATTTTCCCCTTTTCACTTGAATGCTTGCGCTTATGCGTTCCTTTTTTTTTTTTTGGGTTCTAGAAATACAGTAGCATTTTTAATTTTTTAAATCATAATATGGTATGCTGGAAACGGTGGGAATTCATGGCATTAACGTATGTAGCAATCTAGTGGCAGATGGAGGAGTATTCGTAAGTAAAATAAAGCTATAGTATTTCACTCTCCCAAAAAAAAAGAGAGAAAAAGCTATAGTAATATTGCTAATCTGGGATCACGTCTGCACACCAGCTAAATACGCTCAAGTTGTTGCTATTGCAAGGATGCTAATAGATTATTCTTGGCAACAGGTTGCTGCCATGTTTAAGATTGGTAATAGCAAGGAACTCCCAACAATCCCAGATCACCTCTCAAATGAAGGAAAGGATTTCGTTCGGAAATGTCTACAACGTAACCCACATGATCGTCCTTCGGCCCAGCAACTATTGGAACACCCTTTTGTAAAGTGTGCTGCACCTTTGGAAAGACCTATTCTGGTTGGTGAAGCGTCAGATCAGGTCTCTGGTATTGCGCAAGGAGCAAAACCTCTGGTACTATTGTATTCTATATTCTGTCTCCAACATATAATGTATAATATCTCTTTCTCCTGTATCCCTGTAAGCTATCTCCATATTCTATTGAAAAGTGGGGATGCGTGGTTGCCTGCTTGTCTTTCACTACGCGTCATGTTTTTGTTTCACGTTATCCCTCTATCTTGTTCCTATGCATGATAGAAATGAATAAGAACTATTTACTTCGCCGCAGGAAAGTATAATATTTATACTTCGTTGCACTTTATCCTTTTACGTTCCTTAGGATGTGAGTGGTCTTGGTGTGTAGATCTATGATAGACCTTTATCCCCATTCCCTCCAAATTTAGAGTCCTTATTCTTTTGCATTTGTGTGAAGCAGAAAGGATTCTTGGCCTCCCTCCCTACCTCTCTCTTTTTGTGTTTGCATAGATAATTCAGTCAAGGCTTGATGTCCGCAATAAAGGCAGCAAGACAAAGTATACGAAGTAGTTCCTTACTTCTCCGTCAGATGTAATTTTTAAAAGTGATAAAGGCTAAGGTAGGAATTAGACTGGGCTACTTCTCTATCAGATGAAGCTGGAATGTAGTCTTGGACGTTGGAGTAAAAATCACGTATATGGTTTGGGGAAAAGAGAAAAAGCTAAAAAAGTTGTCATAAGACTATTGGGCGACTGGGGATTATTATTTCAGCTGTGAGACAAATGTTTGTAATTGTGTTTTAATGTCTGGTATGCCTATCTGAGGCTTCGAACTTCATCCAGTTAAGACTCTGAGGACACGATCTGTTTAGAGTTTTTTATGCAACTAGAATATCTTTCTGTGCATTGTGCAGGTGTCATAACTTAAGAGAATCATGACTTGCCAAATTTAAATTGTAATAATCGAGAACATATGTCCTTTTGTTTCTTGTTATTAATTGCATCCATCTTTGATGAATATTCAGGGCGCTGGACAAGGCAGAAACCTCTCTGCCCTGGATAATGACAGAGTTTCTGTTCATTCTTCTAGGGTGTTGAAAACCAATCCGCATGCTAGGTCTCTCTCTCTCTCTCTCTCACTCACCACACCCACACTGTCACCCACTCCCACAAATGCACGCATAATGTTGCTGATATTTGGTGTTCTGAAATAATTTTGTTGATCTCCAGTAATGAAATCCATATTCCAAGGAATATTTCTTGCCCTGTCTCTCCCATTGGAAGCCCACTTTTGCGGTCAAGATCACCACAGCACATGAATGGGAGAATGTCTCCTTCTCCTATATCTAGCCCCCGTACTGTTTCTGGTGCATCCACGCCTCTTACTGGTGGTAGTGGTGCCATTCCATTTGGCAATCACCTGAAACAGTCAGCTTATTATCAAGACGGTCTTGCAAACTTGCCAAAGCACTCAAATAGCATCTACATTAATGCCCCTGCTCATCATGACTCTGGCATTGACATCTTTCGCAATCTGCAAATGGGTTCTCAAACAGAATTGATTCTGAGTGAAAATGATGTTATGGGGAAGCATTTTGCGAGGCCTCCTGTCGAGCCTTATGATGTTCAGTCAGTCTTGGCTGATCGTGTTTCTAGACAGCTACTGGGAGATCATGTTAAGATCAAACCGTCGCTGGATCTTAGTCCCAACTCTCCTTTGCTCAACCGGTCAAATGGTCTATGACTTGAGTCATTTTCCTGGACTTTGTCCAATCAAGCCTTCAAGTTTGAGTGAAGATCATCTGGTTGCACAGGTCGGTTAATTGTTCTAATTACTGAGGAAGTAATTGCACAATAAGGAGAATTTATGTAATAAATTTGGATCTGGGAATAGACTTGCTGGGACCACACAGTCCATTTTGTTTGGCCTCAAGCTCAGGCATGTGGAGTTCAGATCTTTACTTGTTGAGCAAACTAAACCACGTTATGAAACTTTCTCACATGATTCGTCTATATCAGCTTACACATAGTCGTTCTGGAAAAAGAAGATTGCAGTTATATGTAGGATGTTTAGGATGCACCATCAACTCATGAAAAGTTGAGGACTTGGATGGTTTAGAAGTGAAGAAAATTGAATTGGTAAAAACATTACCTTTTGGACTATTTTGGGAGGTCAGATATTGGTACATAAAGATGGGAAGCTGGATTGGGATCCCGCATTTGTTGAAGTCAAAGACTTGAAGAACCCGTTCATCTGTTGCTGTGTGTAATGCGGGTTCAGGTGTATTACTGTCATTGAAGACTTTATTAAAGGATCAATTATGTACATTGTTAATTGAAGTAAAATGGATGAAGTTGATATTGTGATCCTCTCATCTGGTTTGTACAGGGCTTATCTGATGGGTGAACCTTTTGTCTTCGTTTTAAGTCTTTGCATGTATGATACAAGACTAATCTGCTGGCAATTTCCTTGACATGAAAATTTTAGATAGAATTGATCTACCAAAAATCGGTAGACTATAACCAATCATGGTGGAAATGAAATATGTTAGTATATTTTTTGTAATGAAATTCATTTTTTTCCCGTGTTTATATGCTTATCTAAGGTTCCTTTAACACTGCTATTAGGTGAGTTTGAATCTACCTGAACAAATTATTCAATTGAAATTGTTAGCTGTTGGAGGCTATTCTTTGCGGAATCAAATTGACAGGTTCCTGACACGTTACTTCTGTTCACAACACGCCACTATATACCTACTAAAACGACAGCGTCCAGTCGCTCGAGTTTCTTCGGGAACATTATACATACATTTGCGTTCAAATATGCGACACAGCGTCAAAATACTTCGGCAACGTAGTTGTTCCTATCCAGCATGATTAGAGACGGCTGAGTAACAAAGGCAGAAGACGAAGTGGAAGAGGTGGAAGGAAGAAAAGAGGAAAGTTTGTTAAAGGAAACAGCGGAAGATGATGCAGTACTCAGGATCTGCGAGAGGCCATTGGGGAAAAAAACGAGAAGGCTCGTGATACCAAGTGAGAAATGCAGAATATGGAGAATGAAAGAATTGGGCTCTGTGAATGATGACCACAGACCCGCGACAAGTATTTACATACTGAATGCATCTGGGTACAAAGCTCGATCAACCTGTGATTAAGTTCTAACTAACTTATCTAATTTAGAATCTGTTATCCAATTAACTCATAATTAACCCGTGTTATATCTCAAACAACACAGCATCAAAGATAACGAGATAACGAGATACAAGTGAGATGCCAATGAGTAGGAATGTTTAATCTTCGTACAAATGATCGAAGCTAAAATTCCATATTAGCATTTGGGAACCTGACATCGACTTTGAACCAAATCTGAGCTATAATCCCAGAGTTTCCTTGCCAAACCAGGATCTGATGCTTGGAAGCTTGTTTCAGCTACATTACAGTCTGCAAAGTAACATCCAGTCATCCCTTTAACCCGCGGATGCAAAGCTACGTAGCATGTGGTGGCTGCCCCCTATATAACGCGGAGAAACAAACTCAAGTTCACATTAATGCATATATATTCGTGCTCAACCTCTACTTGCTTATAAAAAAAATAACTTTTATTTTGTTCATCAAAATTCTGAAGCTTGATTCATTTAGCTATACAAGCTTAATGCGAATGGTTCTTTCAGGGATGGAAAAAACCATGCTTGACTGATTTTCAGCAAGCAAAGAAACTGCTCAGCTTTTCTTTACTCACTGGTTTTTTAATTAGAGCTTTTATTTGGTCTTTCTGTTTGAGTATTTACTTGCTTTCTTTATTTGATGATTGCTTACCTCAAACGTTCTGTACTCTTTTTCTGTCTTCATACAATTTTTCTTCTTTCATTCAAAATGCACATACAAGCTCTATATGTCCACCCGAACTTACTCATTCAAGCAACAAGTGGAACCAAAATCCATGTAGTTTATAAATAACTTAACCCATTTAGACCTCTATCCTTCCTTTAGCCTGTTTAGACCTCTATCCTTCCTTACTTTTGTTCCCGATAAACATAGTTACCTGTTGTATATTTTTCATCACATATTTTCCAAGGAGACCAACTAAGCCTGCATAAAATAAGACGAAAACCATAATTTAATTAGGTCACATCTTTAGAAAAAAGAATGAGAAAACAAGAGAAAATTTCATATCTAACATGTATATAAGATTGATGTACAAGGGGTGGTCTTGAATATTTTCTCACAGAAAAGCATGAAAGCAAAGGGCACGACCAAAAAGGACTCACCATCAATCAAGCTGTGATGACGGAACAGATTGGTGGCAATTGCTCCTGGGTGAAGTGAGTTTGCAGTGATATCCACTCGCTCCTCCTGTTACAGGTTAACATCATATAGTTGGAAAGCTGTTGAACTGTGGTAAATCCCATTTGATGGGGGGAACTCTCAGAAAAAAAGAAGTTCAAATTTAACATTAGAGGAAATAAATTGCAATTCATGATATGAAGGATAAACCTTTTAGGCATGACGCACCCTACCTATGTGATTGGAGTTACACAGTCAAATAAGGTTGAAGACAAAATGGCTTTTCTGACCATCCGTGACTGGTTCTGACTGAGGAAGTTGCGCAATGAGCTTAAATTTCTTGTGTGGTGCGTGTATCAGTATAGATAACAGCAACAACCATATGAAAGTTCCAGTCATAATGAAGCAAGGTCATCCATATATTATATATGTTCCTGATATTGATTCATTCACGAGGAGAAGCAAATCATAATACTCTTCTTATGCCACTGGAATTTACCTCACCAACCAAAGGACAATCCACCAGAACTGGTGTCCATACCCGTAACAAATATGAAAGAGATAACAAGCATCTCTTACGGAGTTAGAAGTGGCAAGGTCCTTCATGCTTACTTCAGTTGTGCCTAAAATATTTTAGGGGAAAGACATTCTCACAATTCAAGTCTCATAAAACCAAATGCCATCTTGGACCCTAGACTTTCACATATCTTAAACTCCATCAAACCTACCCGAAAACCCAAAATTTTTGGCAGCGCATCATTCATCCATATTTGTTGGAGAACAACTCACATTGAAGAAGACCTTGACATTACGTCACTTAGTAGTTCCTTTTAATATCAGTCTTGTATTCATCTTATTTTACAGTGAGTTAACTTGTTCAGGTCGATCTTATCTTTCTCTTATGAAAGCATGCTATATGTCACCTTTGCAAGCTAGTTAAGTTATCTAATTTTTTTACATCCAACCCATCTATTTATGTTTGTCTTGAATATTTGGAATGATAAGAACAAGAGTATGGAATCTCGGAATTTTTTCATGGCATCAGAGCCTAAAAGACCTGAATATAGAGAAACAAGTAACTTCATCCTGGAAAATTACCTTGGATTTTCATTTGATCTATCAAAGCTCTACAGTCATGACAACTGGCCACCTATTGGATGATAGCAATTACCTCTATTGGTCCTAAAGCATGTTTAAACTTATAATAGCACGAAACAAGGAGGATTATATCACAGATGATGCCGCCCCTCCAAGGTTCAGCAATCCCAAATACAAAAATCTAGATGTCCAAAAGCAATCAAATCATGTCTAGATTGATGACCTCAATGACGAATGGAATTGGGACGAATTTCCTTCTGAGCAATAAACATATTGTTCTTTGAAGAATAGTGATGTACTATTTGAGATTAAAAAGTCAACTTCCTAAATTAAAGCAAGTGGATTTATAACACCTTTGTTTATTTTTGGCAGCAGCTAGACATGTTTGAGACACAAATGAAGATGCAGCAGTGAGACAACATGTTGTGGAACGCTAGTGGAGCAGGATAAGGTCCATAAACCTCTACTTGGCCTGAATCCAATACTTAATGATATTTGGGGGAGAATCATGCATTCATCTACTGCCTCCCCTAAGAGAAACTTTCCAGAAGTAAAAAGAGGAAAGCAGGAAGAGACTCATTCAAGGTGCAAAGGAAGAGCACCCTACCCAAGATCTTTTGTATTATTCTCTTACACAGACAAACAGCTAGCAGATTTTACCCATTGACAGTATCCTCAAATAAGTCAGTCACCTTTAGAAGTCTTGCAAGCTCATTAGCGTGAAGAACATTAGCAAGCTTTGATTGCCCATACGCAGACAAGCTGTTATACCTGCACAAGTGAAGATCATTGATATCAGCAATAGTTCCAATTCATCTAGAACTTTCCTAAGGAGGGTGAGGGAAAGAGAAGAATTCATAGTCTAAAATATGTTGAAAAAGATAGCATCTAGAAAATGGACTGAACAGTAGTTTGGACCACCTAATAGAGTTACCCTGATTTTTCATTGATTTTATTAAATCGAATCCCTTCAGGATATGAGAAACGATGACGTCTTGATGAGACATTTACAATCCTCCCCTCTTTCCTATGTTCAGTGGAAGTTCGTTTCATTGTGTCCAACAATAAGTTCGTCAAAAGAAAATGACCTGCAAGGAGAGATCCTTATATCTCAAATTTTCTCATAAAGCAGTAGGCTTAATGCTTCTGCATGTATTGCAATGACAGTAATAATGGCCATACATTTGTATATTAAAAATGGAAACTATAATAATCATAACATGTATACACAGACGTACTTGTTGGTGTATATATATATGTATAACAAAAGCAAGTGGGCTTAGCCCTAGCCCAAGTACACGAGTTCAGTTCACACTTACGCTAACACTCTGAACTATTTATGCTGACCAGTGTCATACTTGATAGTTTAACTTGATTGAATACATTCTCATATCCAAAATCCTGTAGTATATCGACATGGTATTAGAGCCCACCATTGCTGGGAGACTCCAATCCTGAACCTAAGAGGGATTTGAATGGTATGTCGGATTCAGGGAGAGATGATCTGAATATCAAAATAATTCTAAAGAATAACTTACAAGCCATCAGATGCTTATATGTGACATGCCATATTTTACATACATAGATGAACCCAATTCATTGTCAAAGAAACCTCACCTATGTGGTTTGTCCCAAATTGTAGTTCTATATTATCTTTGGAAAGCTTGAATGGTGTTGCCATGATTCCTGCGTTATTACTTAGAACAAGAAACAACAGGAAGAAAGCATAATTATCTCAATGACAGAACAAGAACCCAACTGATATTGATGAATGTATGAAACCAGAAAGCATAATTTTCTCAATGACAGAAAGAGAACCCAAATGATATTGATGAATGTATTAAACCACAAGACACTAGCATCTATTACCACTGCCAACGTATGTGCAGTGCCTTACACTAGTATATTCAAGGGAAGACCACAAGAATTGAATTGCCTGGCAAAATTTCTGACTGATTCCATTGAGCTCAGGTCCAGCTCCATGACCTCTATTTTCGCTTTGGAGTTGTCTCTTACCATTGCCTCCTTGATTTGTCTACCAGCTTTAACATCTCTGATGGCCATAACTACATGGACACCACGTAATGCAAGCACCCGTGCAGTTTCAGCACCAATTCCACTAGTTGCTCCTGCAGCAACACAACCCGCTCAGGCAAAGGAGTCATCCATATCAGATGCTCCGAAGGGGCCAAAATGGAAGAACAGAAAAAAAAAAAAAAAACCACCCGGCCACTCATAACTACCACACTTTTGTTATCATTCCTATTGTCATCATTGACTTCGAAAACATTTTTCAGCCTTAATCAATCATATTCATTAATCTTCATCATGTCACACACCATGAGAACAAAGTACCCATCATAAGTACAATAAAACGAATGAAGTGGAAGAAGGGAATTTCTCCCTTCACTTACCATGTCTTTCTGTCAATCCAAGAACCATAAGGTTTCCTTCTAGACTATACTCGACACTTCAAGAACAGTTACGCTAATAAAAAGTTTAGAGTGTGCTCATACCCGTGTTGATACCTGATATTGATTCAATAACCAAATAAAGCAACAATTGTAACCACAGAAAAATGAGGTTAATATTGACCTGTAACAATGGCAGTGAGGCCAGAGCCATCAATCCCTCGAGTGACTTCCTCGGCCGTAGAAGAAGCTGTGAACCCAGACGGTCCCTTTTTGCTGAACAACCACATCCTGTTTACCCCCTTCTCTTCGGCTCATTCTGATTCAGTCAAGTGAATAAACATTTTTCAGGGTACTGGATTGCGATTATTCCACGTCGTCTTGTTCCCGAAACAAATTACAAAGGAAGTCTTTTTATGTTTATTATTTTATCCTTGATATAAAACTTATTTTATTAATTTGATTAAATTAATAAAGTTAGATAAATTAGTTAATTATAAGAAATATAACATGTTTTTCTTAAAACATTATAATTATTTTTCTTAATATCTTCTCTCTATTTTCTACTTGATTATGATTGAGAGAGTATCCATAAAAACTATTTAGAAAAAATTAATAAATATAAAAATAAATTTAAAATTTAAAATCAAAATTAACTTAACAATTAAGTCATGTTTGGTGCATGACATCGAGAGCGAGGGACAGGGACTGGATTAGGGAATGAGACAATTTATAGCGTTTGATACATGGCATTAAGTAAGGCCTGGGGTTGCACAGTACAGTGCCACATAGGTGGAATTGGACAAGCTCGCAATCCCCTGGTATTGCATTTTCAATCTTATAATTGAATATTTTTAGGACAAAAACATCCTCATTTATAATAATTTTCAGACAAGTTTGACCTTTTCAATTTTGTCCTAGTTTATTTTCTCTTCTCTGAACTTGCTGCTCACTTTCTCCCTCCTCGCTCTCTCTGCCACTGTGTGTTCAACGCAACACCGCCAGTAATTTTCACTCCCACTCTACATTATTTGTCACGAACATATACACATTCTTCTCTGGCGCTTGATTCTAGACTTTACTTCTCCATTAACGTGTTTCTTTTGTCCGGATAAATATACGCAAATTTGGAAGTCTCTTCTTATATTTCTACTCCCTTGTTTATTTTTATTCCGTCACTGTTGGATTTGGGCTCTCAAAATTCATTCTAGTGTTTTTTTAATAACAAATGGACTCCCTTTAATAATAACAAGGAATTGAATTTGTGTGTGTTCCTCAGTTATTTTTCAAAATCAATCCCACAAATCATTTACGCTAATATAAGATTTGATGTGCAAAGTGGGAGGGAGGACGATGCGAAAGGGAGAAGATTAGATGTGTGTTTTTTTCTTTTAATATTTGGAAGGGGCATTATTGTCTTTCCATAACTTGGATCTGATTAATGGAGCCAATCCCTTCAAATATTACCCTGTGCCAAACGTAAGTCTATAGCATCATTCCCAGTTATATTACCAGTCCCATTCCTTGTCTTATTACCAATCCCAAGCCCTCAAATTCATTGCTGTGTACCAAATATAACCTTAAGTTATATATTAAGGACCGAAAGATTATAAGGTAAAGATAATCTCTTTTCTTTTCCCCAAAAAAATATAATGTTAAGCTGTAAAAAATTACCACACCTGATATTTATAGTAAAAATTTATAATTGCAGTTGCACAAAAAGATTATACTCCTACAGTATTTAATATAAGACCTAATGATATAATTAATTAATTTGAGTAGATTAAAGATATGAATTCAATTAGTTAATATGATATGTTTTTTAAAACATCCTAAACATCTTTCTTAATTCTATATTTCTCTCCCTCATATTTGATTATTATTGAAGAAATAACAATAAGGTTAATTTGAGAAAAATTAATAAAAATATAAAATAAATCTTATGTATAACACCAATATCAACTCGTCAATTAATTCCTACATAAGGGCAGGAGAAGTATTACCCTATACAAAATATATATTACTCTATATAGACGCCCACCACTTGGGAGAAATAAAAACTAGAAACTAGCTGGAACTAGCTGGGTTAACCGAAAAACTGCTAAACCGACCAGTGGTCTGATTTGGTTTTGTTATTGAACTGGGTAGGAGTTAAACCAGTCGAATCCATGTGAATTGGTGAAAACCAGCAAAAACGGGTGTGAACCAATAATAAATCAGTTTGAATGATTATATTGCTATTGACTGCATTTTTTCTCATTCAACTCTTAATATCTTTGTCAACATAGATTTAAATAAATTTTAATAATAATTTTGATATCAATAATTATTATTTATAGTTATTGATGAATTTTATAGATCAAAATTCTTAATGTTATTGTCATTTGCTATTATTATAATTAAACTATTGCCATATTTCTTTGTATTTTATTATTAGTGATTATTAATGTTGTTCTATTTTATTATTTTTAATTAAATTATATTATTTTAATATGACTGGTTTGATTTTGAGTTGATCTCGATCCAACCAACTAATCTTTAAACCACTATCTCGGTTTAGTGTCCAGTCTGATTTTTTTTTTTTGGTAAAATCTAATGCTAACTTCATTTTTATTGTAAAACTCGTGCGCATGCTCGTATTCAATTAATTATTTCGAACCTCCCTTCCTATAAGCATTAATTCTAGCTCATAATAACCCTTATGAATCATCATTCTCATTCTCATAAAAAGAAAAAGAAAGTCCCTCCTTTTAACAGGAATTCAGTTATCTAGGCACCCGTTGGATTGGACCAGACAAGTGAAAAACCAACTAGAGTTCTTTTCTCTCTCTCTTCTTTTCTTTACGGCCGATGCAAAGTTCACGCTGTGGATTCTGATTTCCAGAAGGAAATATCATGCATCAAGCTATCACATATCCACTCATCATAACAAATATGAGAACAGAGAATTCAAAAAGATCTTCATTCTGTTTACTGGCACATTTATGCCAACCAAGTCGAGTAAACCCTTCCGTATTAAAGGGCATCAGCGGATCAAAGAATATTCATAACTTTGTAATTGGGAAACACAGATTTCATGGTCGTACTCCAGCAAATGCGTTGCAGAAATAATACGGACTTATTTATAAATAAATTTTAAATTTATTAACTCTCATGTAAATTTAAAAACTTAAAATTTTAAACTCTATTTATACAAGAATTCAAAAAAAAAAAAAAATACAAGAACTCAAAGGCCAAAGCAGTCACTCCTTTTCCTTATTCCCAGAGTAGTACATCTTGAAGACTTTAGGAAGATAAACAGGCAAGAGAAACCCAAACAGATTGTAACACCAGAACGCCATATTAGCCACAGCAAGAACCCTGCCTGCCATCACTCTCTTACCAGACCCACTTTGCTGTGCTTCAATCTTGTAAATCTCAGTCCTGAGCCAATCCACAATGGTGAAGATCCTCCTAGAGTTATAGAACACAGGCACAAAAGCCCTACTTGGAGGTGAGAATTTCCCTGTGAAAGCAATCCCTTCCATGAAGATCTGACTTGCCAGAAGAAACAAATGGGGTGAAGCTGCCTTTATGCCCTCCTTATCACCCTCATAAGTGCCCTGCAATATGTAGGCTATTGGGCCGTAGAGTCCTATAACTGCCCCTATGTTGACATACAGACGAAGAAGCTTGCTCTTAGGGTCAAAGACTGGGGGGTAAATGGTGTTGGGTTTTGAAGGGAAGGCAACTCTGGAGATGAAGACGAGGTATATGAAGGAGAAGATAAGGAAGGAGAAGTCCTCAAGGCTTACCATTCCACTTGAGGCTAGGATTACTATGACTGCTAGGGAATTGAGATGAGGAAAAGAGAGGAAAGTGGACTTGATTTTAGGGATTTTAAGGGAATGATTTGGGTCTTGCTGTTCTTTGTGGATAACTTCCTGCTCTTTCGGGATGGTGATATCGGACCCAATCGGACCGACCCCGCCTGACATTTTTTGATGATACTAAGAAAATTGAGACTACGGTGAAGGGCTAATGAACGTTCAACCGGAAGGCGAGGTTGAACAAACTTGGCTCTTGCTTTGAAGGATGATCAAAATGATGGAAGATAGAGGAGTGTCCAGGAAAGCAAAGGATGGCGAGAAAAACAAAATGAAGGGAGATAAGGTTATAAGCTCCGATACGTGGTGAAGAGGATGGGTTACGTGGTGCGACTTAAATGTGACACGTGCCTGAGGTCGGAGGGTTTCGTCATGACATTTGTCTTCTTACATGGCCTGCTACGTGTTCAGCGTTTTGTATCACCTTGTTCGATATTTTTATCAAGATCGGCCTAATTTTGGTTTTTAGTACTCTTCTTAATTAAATATAAAATTTTATCCACGCTTATATAAGAGTCTTATACTACGTAAGGCTCATCAGCCTCAACTCAAATATAGATATGCATTCGGTGGGATAATCCTTAAAATATACTCTTGTTTTATCTTGGCAAAAAAAAAAAAAAACCTCCCTAGTTTCATAACAATTTTATTTAGGCCAAAAAAATTATGAAGTAATATATTTTCCAATTTGCCATCATTTTATTTTTAACTTAAATTTTAAATAATAAATTTCAGTCTATCAAAAGAAAAAATTCACGGTTTAGAACATAAATAGCGAAAATTAAAATGAATGCAAATTTGAGAAACCAAAAATTATATTAATCCAAAAATTGTTAATTGATTGAAATTTTTTAAATTCAATTCATCACTCTCTTAAATATTTTTAATGCTCTTTTAATAAATACATTTAACCACTAACTGGTGTAATAATAAGAGGCAAAACAAGAAACAAGTCGCTGGCCAAAAAAAAAAAGGAAACAAATCATTTAATACTTTATAAAAAATGACACTTATTTTTTTGAGTAAAAGAATAATTCATTAAACAGAAGATATTTACAACAGGAGAGTACAAAGGAACACGACAAAAGCAATTAAACGCCTAGGCTAATCGCATTTGAAGGCGGAGATCATTGGCTTTCATGGCGTAGTCCGTGTAGGCAAGAACCTCATTAACTAGACGGTGAGCGGGGACCCTTTCATCATTAAATAGCATATGATTCCTAGCATTCCACAGTTTCCAGCAAAGGGTGCCGAACGTGATGCGCCATTGGGGGTTGCTGTTTCGACTTCCTAAATTCCCATGCGCCCAATCTGTAAAATGACACTTACTTTAAATCATGAAAAAGAGATATTTTGTCACAGTGGAGCTAATTCTAAATATAAAGCTCATTTAAGATTTTTAATATGGTTCTAAATACATTTCTCATTCCCCTCTTATCTTTTTTTATTAACATTTTTTTATATATATGTTCATTAAATTTTAAATTTCAATCATTATACGGCTATTTTTGAAACAATTGTTACAAACTCTTACCATGTTAATTACAAATAACCTGCTTAAGTATTTTACAAAAAAATTATTAATTAAAAAATCTTATATTTTAAAAGTCGGAAGTAATGCCCTGAATTCGGATATCCTATTTCTCGTTTTATTCGTACAAGAAACAGCAGAGTGATTCTTTTCTAATCTCACCGAGAAAAATGAGTATCCACGCATTTGACTGTTGGTCATCTTTTTCCCACAAGTAATAAATGACTGAAGATATAATCTAGTAAATACTGCTGAATGAAAAACCCATGCTCCTATGGATGAGACACTTGTGCTCTTAATCCTGACCTGGATTGAGCATAATATAGGAAATTCTGCGAGTAAGAATAGCCATTCACGCCTAGTTTGTGACCAAACAAACCATTACCGAAACAGATTAGATATAAGCATCAGTTTAGATGATTAATACAGAAACTAAATAATACCCCATTTCTGCCCAATAATTTAATTCTCTGGGATGTCCTATCATATATTCCCGGAAAAAAAACACTATATGCCCCTCTGAAAAAAATAAGAACAATACCTTGCAAGCAGAAATAGATTATTTCAATTTAATACGTAAACTTCAAAAACGGTGGTAAGTTGGAACAATATGTATAAAATCCACGTTAACAGTCAGAGCTCATATATAAAATGTTATACATAAAATATCATCTTTATCCCTCCCAAAAATTGGAGCCGTATGAATAATCTACATTGTAATTATATGAGGAAAATGATAAATCATAAAAATGAGATCTAGCCAAATAAAAAAAAGAAAAGAATAGAAACTAGGGACCTCTCCATTATCTCAAAAATAGAATTATTACATGAATTTAGACAATTTTACCAAAACAAAGGAATAAATTAAATTTGATAACTATGTCGAAAAGGTAATGCCTATATAAAAAAAGAAAGAACCCTAGTAACTGGACAGACTTATTACACCCAAAAAAAAAAAAAAAGGTAATAACACTGCGAGATAAAAGAGCTTGCTTTCTCAATCTCTTATGCCATAACAGTAAACCCTCAGGGAAAGGGAGCTTGAAACAATCTCCTATGTCACTATATTGCCATCTTTTTCTGAAGGGAAAGGAGGGAATGTAAAAAGACTTTCCGGCAAAACTTACCTTCAATTTTCTGACAGAAGACCATCAGTAAAATTGGAACCTCTGCGAGGAAATTAATGGCGAGAAACTAAACTGCAAATTTTTATCTGTATAGTAAACTAATCCAATTTCTTCCTTCCTCCTGCCTATTTAAGTAGCTGTTCTTTGTTTAGGAATGTACTTTATCTTGACACCCTTTTCAGGCTTCATTCTGATTCTGGATTTAGACAAGGTTGCAGGCAGCCGAGGCTCTGCACTTGCAAAAATGGAGCATTTGTCAATATCTGAAGATTGGCATGCAACTAGTTCACAATCTTGTGCCTCCATACACCTAGGAAGTTTAGAATCAGGAGAAAGAACCAATTTCACATGGTTTGACGAGATAGCTTTTTTCCATCCTGCATGACAAGCGCATTTAATTAAATCAAAGAATGTGAAGATCAGACCAATTATTAGGTCAAAAACAAAGAAAATCGTGCAAGTAACAAAGCTTACTTTCTGCAAGAAAGGCTTTGGCAGCTTGACTAGAAAACTGCAAGTTTCCTGTACCCACTTGGTCCTCTAGATGAGAGGAATTATTCTCAACACTATTATCGCTATTACCTAAGTCACACAGCCTTAAAGAATTTTGATCATCCATTTTTCCGTCTATTGCATCAGGTTCTGGACCACGGTGAAGTGGTAATGGATATTTACTTCCATGCTGAGTAACTGGCCTCCAAAGCTTAACTGCCTTAACTATTAAACGATTGTTAACAATCTGTACAGAATCAGGTTTGACTGGCTTCTCCTGAGTGTTAATACGATGGTTTGACTTTCCTACCATGCAGTCCTCTCCAGATGCCACTAGATTATCCTCTGATTGGCTGCAATTTCCCAAAGTAACAGATATAGACCCTATTAAAACTTCATGGTTTTTACCCTCATCTGGTTCTTTCTCTAGTCCGGCTTTTGAATGTACCCCAATAATTTTTTGCTTAGGCTTTCTGCTCCATACTTTGTTGCCATTAAGCATGGGAGCAGCCTTTTGATTACAATGGCTCCCATACTTCTGAATGACTCCAGGCTTGAAAATTTGAGAGTTATGATTTGCATGAAAACCATTGGCTACAACCCATTGTGATTTTGGTTGAGCAACCACATGTTGACAAACATGTCCTAGGGATGTCTCTTGCTCAATGTTCTGATCAGTGCCACAATCATACACTAACAAAGAACCCCCATCCACACCTTCATTAATGTTTGTGCAATGGGAGGGAACAAGTAGTGAAGGACCATGGCCGGCAAATGCATCTGGACTATGTTCTTCAGAGTCAGATGTATCTGAAAATGCTTCTGCTAATGAACTGTCAGCTGCTGTGCTGCTGCCACTCTTTTTCATTTCAGCCTCATCCTCAAGCTTTTCCCTAGCCTTTTGTTCTTTTTGCCTAAGTTTTTTCTGGCGTTTTCTCTCCAAAATCTCAGCTTGTCTACAAACCAGCTAATACATTATTAAATAAAGTGTCCTATAATACATAAATGACAGGTTTTCAAGAAAATATACTTCTTTTATTCATCTCTTAATATATTTGGAAAACAAACAAATCTATTAACAAAGGATAAATTTATCATCATCTAAGTTGATCTGCTGCTATGTGAAGTTCAGTTTACAGAGACGGACTGGTGATATTTGCAAACAATATCATGGTAATTCTCTTCTGCTAGGTGACGTCCCTATCTTTTAGTCATCTATTTTTTACCGACTCACAAACGGATTTATTTCTCTCCTGAAGCTAGGGCCTGTAAGTGTAACCACTAACCACTGGTAGAAAAAATCTTTTACTAATAGTTTCTTCATAGCCCTAGCGTAATGGGTCAATTCCGTACAATATTTGCTCCAGAACCTAAAAATTAAACTGAGCATCAAGCCCCACGAATGGCTGAACATTAAGAACTAATATCAAGTAATAAACACACATACACAACATAACAGGCGAAAATCAAAGAGAGAACTAGTTAAAAACTTAAAACACTTCAGGTACCTTTTCTGAGCAGCTTCTTCCTCCTCCACCAGCAGTTTCTGGCATCTTAATGCTTCAGCTTCCTTGTCAGCAAGCCATGCCTTTACCTAAGTGAAAGGAAATTCATATTCAATCATAATAATAACTTGAAAAATTCAGAAGCTTCATAGAGTAATTAATTACAATGATGGAGTGAGATTGAGAAAATGCATGTCTTTTCAATCATAAATGCTTCACTAAATCCCCATCAACCCTGGGGATGATATCTAGCAACAGCTGAAAGCAAATATTATATTTAAAAAAAAAAATTTCTTGTCTAATATCATTTATGAACTACTATCTATTAATTATTAATTATTCAAGAATCATCTACATCTCATATGCACATCTGGATGAAAAGTTGGTCGACCCTATAAGGCCTTCCATTAAAAGTGCATCTTTTGAAGCTAAATACAGAAAGCACCCTGTAGGCAAGTGAGAGTGAGGGAAGAAGCAGGGATAGAGAAGTTATATGCAAACAGAGAGCTAACAGAATTACCAATTTCTGTTCTAGCAAGAAACTAGTACAAGCAACTAGGTTTTTCAGTTCAAGGCCAATCTTTCCCGGTTCTCCATCAAAAATATATCTTTGCATTGACACTGCTGGCCCGCATAAAAATGTTTTTTCACTGGCACTATCAAGGATGCCGAACAACTCCTTAGAAGATATAGAAAGTACGGAAGATCTAGCTTGAACAATATCCTGCCAACAATTCAGTCATAAAGTATTAATGAACAAAGAAGTTAAAATTAGAAAATACATACGTATATGTGTGCTGGAAATGAGTTGCCGGCCCCCCATAGAGGGATAAGGTTGTTTGTTATTGTTGCTGTTGCATATGCACGTAAATATGCATTAAGTGTTCAGGAATCTTAATTGTCATTTATCATCTTTAGGAGTTTACATTTGAGCTGTCATATTATAAATTAAAAGAGGGGCTACCATAGTGTGAGAGAGTCCTGGCTCTGTGCAAGCCTCCTCATACACCAAGTTTATATTCTCATGTCAAATTATACAAGAGCATAAAGTGTAATTTATGATATAAAAACTTTAATAAACCACACTCTGCATAAACTATTAAAAGTTCAACTCCTTTCTCAAATTGCATATAAAAATATAATGCTTCATACCAAAAGGGCAGAACCAGCCTTCAGATAATTCTGTGGAAGTGAAGGAATTCCTTGTTTCCGAACATGAGTCGTCAGTGCTTTCAAAATAGAAGACCCCGGAACTTCCTAGAAAGCATTGTCAATAAGGAAAAGCAAGATACAAAAACTAAAGAAAATGGAATACATGTCTATCTTTTATTTTTTGCCATTAAAGTACTGTATATCTGCATCTGGAGCTCTTCTTCATTTACTAGTGGGAACGTATTGATCTCTTAAAAAAAAATGACTAAGAAGGTTTGGACAAGGCGTTTTAGAATCACTTTCACAACTGAAGGAAGCCATGGCCTCCAAACAAACAAGAACAGTTTTTGATCCAATATAGCAATTAAAAAGAACTGTAAACAAATACAGCACACAAAACTATAACATAAAGATAGGACGGAGTAAAAAATATGCGCAGTAGTGTACTGTTTGAACACAGATATGTATTCATTTTCATTCCATATATTTGACATACTCATATTTAAATAACTAATAAAATATTCCTTTTTTTGTGACAAAATAAAGTATTACTTAAAGAGCACAGATATGTTACCTCCAGCGTCACATTCTTGAATGATACAACTTGTTTTGCCTCTTCTACAGATAACTACACAAATTATGTACATATAAGCCCATCAAAACAAGTTCTTTACCTTTAGAGGAAACATCACAGGGATTAAAAAAAATTACCTTATCCCAATATGCCCCTAACAGATCTCTATTTTTTGTAGAATCCTACAATACGCAAACAACACAAAAATAAGGATCATAGATATGCTGTTCTGTCATCCAGTTAACTTGAAAGAATATACAAAACTAACAAAAACTAACAACTGGACTAGGTATACGTATAGGCTTTTGTATTCATAACATATAAAGGAAACCTTATCAATATTTTTCAACCGATGGTGAACACGTATATGCCTTCTGTAATTAATTGAAGAACAGAATTCTCGGGAACACTTTTCACACTTCAGCAACTGAACCTTCAGAGGAGAGAGCAGAGGCCAGCCTGGCAATTCTGTCAAATAAGCGAGCAGTAAAATTAGAATAAGTAAATTTAGAAATAAATGCCCCAGTACAGGGCCAGAACTAATTATAACGCATTTCACATATCACTCTATGCCAGCCTGGAAGAAGCAAGTGCAAAGACGGGGATAGCCTCAAGAGTATAAACTGTTGCAATTCTTTGCAAAAACATTACATAGACAAGGTTGACACATTCCTCGATGCAATGTACATTAAATGCATACAAATTAAGCTCATTTGTACCCTTTCGAAATTGTGACCTCCAAAAATGATTACTTTTTGAACCTGTAAGATAGTACTATTAGCTAATACCTTGCTGATCTAACGCATGAAGTAATTGCATCCACTGGACTGGACTGTCACTAGCCCTTGGAAAAGAAAGAAAAGGTTCTCTGCCAATTGCCTTTCTGATGATGGTATCTAAGGAGTCATTTCCATCCTCTGCTTTCATGACATCTGGAGTACCAAAAACCTTGTTTTTTTCAACTGGCATCTGCCTGCACCAGAGCTAATCCAAGCACCTCGACAAGATCCCACTTCCCACTGCACATAGAATAAAAAACAGAACATGTGAAAATGAGACTGCCCCTAAATATAACACACAGAACAAAAACCAAAAGTGAACAAATATGAACATTTTCATATCTGATAAATCGAAATACAAGTGACCAAGTGAGGTATAGACACAATAGACAAAGTAGAGCAAACAGAGCCAACATGCCATAAACAACAAGACTAATGTCAGAATCTCAAAATGATCCCTGAATGAATAATCAATGATCTTACAGAAGCAAGGAAACAGAACAATGCCAGTCGCCTTCCCTTTCTCGCTTTACTTGAATGCAGAAATGCGGACCTAAAAACTAATGCCCACACCCAGATAGCATGGATGCCCAAGATATCTCGGTACATCAACTAAGGTGGCATCACAATGGGAAAGGAAACGAGAACTGAATCGTTCATCCATTCTAAGCACCAAACCCTTCAGACAGGCTTGGCTTTCTGAAATTCTGGCAAATTGGTAATTTTAGATCTAGAAACTAGATTAGTTTGATGCCAATCTAAATATCACAAAAGAATAGCATACCCAAATGATTCTCATAGCTATCTCGCCGATAGAATCCTGCAGGCCATAATAAGTAATGACACAAGCATCGAACACAGTAAACAACTAAACACGATCTTTCACAATTCCCTTGCCATCCAAAAAAGGAATTAAAAACGAACATCACATATACACACCTCTCTTCCTCCTCGACTACAGTAAAAGTTTAACTCCTAGGAAAACATTATTAAAAACAAACCAAAAACAAAGGAATCCGAAAAACATGATCGGCAATCCAATACGATAACCAATAGAACAATGCTCTGGAGAAACTAGAGAGTGTGATAGCAGATCACGCACCAAAAAGGAAAGACGAGAAAAAGATCTCCTCCAGCCAGAGGAGATTCTCGACGCTGAGGGAATCACAAGCGGCGGCAACGAGATTCAGGGTGTTTTGATGGATGGAAAATGGACGAGAAAATGCGAGCAAGAGAGTGATCAACCAAGAAGGTTCGGGAAGAAAAGATAGAGAAGCTTATACAAATGTTCACGAAAATGGGGGACGCAGAGATGAGTTGTTACAAAATACGAAGGCTGGCCAATGCAGAAGAGGAAGAAGCCTCTCGCCTCTGGAGTTGTGTTCACGATTGCGAAAACTCGTACACGCGCTCACGTCAAGCGTGGCTGACTTGTCAAGGAATTTGGTTGAAAAAAAATGTGTTTTCATGAAAAATAAGTTTTTTTATTAAGACATAGAAAAACAATTCTATTCGAGATACTGTTCGGTACTAAATGTGATTACTTTTTTTAATGGGAATTCAAACCTTGATTCATTACATTATGAGGAACTAACCCATTCTACGACCTAATCCTTATTGGTATGGAAAATAAAAGTTGCACGATATGAAATTTTAAATTATAATCAATGTGTATACATTCTCTTCTCTCTTATTGCTCTAGGCCCAACCCATACTTGTCAAAATTTTATTGTAACAATTTTTATATTCCATTGTAGAGCCGGTAATATGGGTTATACCCGCAGGTCCAACCCGCCAACTAGTTAAAAATGGTGGGTTATGGTTGGCCAAAAGCCAACCCGTTACTACTTTAAAAAATATAACCTGCACCGTCATAATTTGAACCCGTGGCGGGTTAGCCCGCAACCTATTTTTTTTAAAAAAAAATAATGAAGGCAAAAGTAAGACAGACTTCCACTTCAAACTTTATTGTCATTAGAAATAATTAGATAAAGAGCTTATTCAGTATTGTTTGTTGGTTTTATTGGAAAAAAATTTGTGAACTTGTGTGTTGTCATGTTGAGAAATTGGACAATCATATACTATTTGTATTTTATTATATTGTAATTTTTATTTGAATGTTTGTAATATTTTATATCATTTCTAGTATTTTTATTTTTGATTATAATAACTACTAACATTTTAAAAAAACATAGGCAAAATAAAAAAAATTAAAAAAAAACAAAAAAAAAAAAAACTTTAAAATTCTGATGGGTTGGTGTGCCTTTGGTGTTTCTGCCAACCCACTAAAAAATGGGTCTTTTGAGCCCGCACCATGTAACCTACAGCCTGTCATGAGCCAACCCGTAACTCACAGGTTGGCTTGTTTTACCAACCCTACTCTACTGGCACAAAAAAAAAAAATTTATGCTCCCTTCTTTCGGGCAGATATTCGAAGTTTTTTTTTTTTAAGTTTTGCCAAAAAAAAAAGTCGCATCATCTCTACTAATATTTTCAGGGTGGATTTCCCCCTAGTCACCCTCTTTCATGTAGATTAATTTCTTTCGCAGAAGAGGATTGAAAACGGATTTTAATTCTTACGTTGCGAAATTAGGTAACTTTGTGTTTTTTTTTTTTTGACACTACCGGTAACTTTGCATTTTAAATCAGGAAAATCATTTAAATATTTTACAACATTTTTGTAGGGAACGCATTAAAGACAAGTTAGTTAATTTTAACTAAAGTGCCAACGAACATTTTATCACGGAAAGTATTGGGCCTTGTATTTTACGTTTTTGTCTCTAACATAAGGCAAAGTAATGAGGACATAGACCTCTGAGATTCATTCAAATTTCTTCTGGACCGAATTGAGCATCATTCAAGTTAAATTTTACACAACATATGGGCAACTTAAGGTTGCCAGTACAAATCCAATAGAAACAAACAAACATCACAAAGACGATGATGATACATATATCAAATAATAAATCGCAGGAAAATGGCTGTCATGGCTAATTGAAGAGTTCTCCAACTTCCCTTTTCATCATCCCCTTAATCTGGGAAAGAATAGATATAACCACAGCTAGATATCAGTATCTATTTCCGTTTGAATTTTCTTCTTATTACTACTAATTATCAAGAAATATTTCAAGAGAAGAAAGACACCTGCTTTGCTGAAAGTCCAATGTCCTGTAAATCCTCAAGCTGTTAGAAATAAAGGGTTAGTTTACTATCTCAAAATTACGTCTCTTTTATATCAATTTTACCGCCAAGAAATTATTAACCAGGGAAATAAGCGACGTAAGGTTTCTTCCAGTAATAAACTAATTCAAGAAACTTACACTCTTGAAAGGTTCAGGAGATTCTTCGCGAAGCTCCACTATGTACGTTGCTCTTTTCTCACCAATCCCCTATAAGGAAGAAGAGTCAGTTTATGAGGTATCATGGAAATTAATCCTAGCGCTAGAAAAGGGAAGCATTCCTGACCTTTAATCTTTTTAATTCTTCCCTGTTAATTTTGACAAAATAAGAAAGGAATATCTTAGTTTAGTCATATGAGATGTAAAATGAGGCTGAAACATATTCTTATGATAATCATTACTGAAGGATGAACAATGGTCATTTAATTAGCACCTCATAAAGACATAAACAAAGAAAAGTACGTTAAATCCTTGAATAAATTCTTGTTAACTTACTTGTTAGCAGTGTTTAAGAACCTGAGATACTCTTGAACAAGAGAGTTCTACAAATAAAGCAAAATTCAAGAATTAGAATGTTTAAATTTTAAAGCAAGCAATTGAGAAAAAGATCAATCAGTATAATCATTAAGTTATCAAAATTCAAACCTTCATTCCAGAACTGCGCGCACTGTATGCTTCCCAAGGACTTTTAGCATTCACGACATTCCGCCTACCCACAGTTTGTTCCATGACAGGAGTTTTGGGTTCCACAATATCTGCAGAAGACACCTGATTTTCAAGTGACATGATGCAGTCCTGTTCTGGTATCTTCACGCTTATTGGGGTTGAAGATAAGAGAAGCTTCAAATTGTTTGACAGTTCACGTAGTTGAGCACTAATTGGTGGTGATTCATTTTTATTGGCAATGAAACTGTCATTTTCCTTATCCATATAATGACCTGTAATGATGAAAAAAATCCATAAGAGAGGCAATTAGGATCAGCATGTTTTGTTAAGCTAGTCACCCATTAAGTTCTGCCTACCTTCCTGAACTAAGTCTGTGGATAAAGCTTTCTTGTACTTGCCAGAATCAGGAGCATGCTCCTTTTGGTGATCCACAGTTTTCTCAGGGGCGGCCTATATAAAAACACATGAGGATTATTCCTCGTTTTCCATTTTAAAACAAAGCAAGACGTAAAATCTTACATCAATTAAGCCATATAAATTTTCCTTGTCAATTGTCCTGATGGTTTTAACAAGGAACTATTAAAGAAGGTTCCCATAAGCCATAGAGTTAGTTTAATACCTTTTCCATCATGAGTTCTGCTTTACACCTAGCATCTGAAACTGAGTCATCCTGCATACAATATTCTTATCATTTTTCAGAATGAAGAGGTGCTTGAATAAACTTTGTAAATAATGTCTGGAACAAATTTAGACTTTAGGAGATTAGTTAATTATATTTTTTACCATGAGTTCTTCTTGATGCCTCGCATCTAGAACTGAGTCATCCTGCATAGAATATTCTCATCAATTTCCTTAAACTTTGTAATAAGATGCTCAGATTAAATTTAGATTCCCAGAGATTACTCAATAATATTTTTCTCTATAGATCATTTCATGTCATGCCCAGCATCTACATGAAACAGTTCCTCATCAACATATGATGTCAGATTTCAACTAGAACATAGCAAGCTAAGACTGGGATCTATAATATGAAGTAATCCGAAATAACAGATATTACCAATGATGAAGGCAATAATGCTTCGTTAACAATTACAATTGATTTTTCCTGCACAGAAGAGAATAGTTTTACACAGTAGAACAACACCACTTACAAAGTCCCACACCACTTACAAAGTCCCGAATCATCAACAATCATATATCATACATATTTCTTGCCAACATCAAAAGTCCTTATTTACCTCTTCTTGCACTGAGGTTTCTACAGTAGAACTGGTATCAGACAATCTTGCCTGCATTAAAATCAATCAAATCAAGACTTAATGAAACTGAGTTATGCATGTTTACTTTGCAGTTGTATCTAGTAGACTAACTCACTTACCACAGGAAGGAAAAAAACAAAAGAAGAAAAGAAAAGAATCATTTAAAGTGAAATGCCCAAGCATACTTCCTTCCTTGAACATGAATCTTGTGCTCGGATAAAACTGATAACTATCTTTTTTCTTATAGTTGCTTTATGAAATGAAGATAACCATAACAGATGATGTAAACCTCTAGATGAAACATGGCTCCCAAGTTTCAGCACAAGACTAGACCCCCTGCGGCTAGGGACATTTTCATCAGTTTTCTTTTTCATATTATGTTTTTATCCTTTCCTTCTCTTTTTTTACTCTATTTCCTATAGTTGCCTTAGCAGTAATGTTGTGCCAGTTTTGCTTCATGTATGCCCACCTCTATAGCAAGTATTTGGAAATTTAAGAGTATCACATTCTTAGAGGGTAGAGAGTGAGAGATACCTTCTCAGCTTTAGCATAATGACTTGCATCATCAAATAATTTCCTTCAAATTAACAGGGAAGAAAATTAATTTCCAGATATGCATATTAAGAAAGAGTAAACCTAGATTTTAACCAAATCTGCATGAAACTTAACCACAAACCTTCCTTTTATGGCAGATGTCATCGCATCAGCTTTCTTTTCACGCATATGTGATTTAGAGCCAGTTATTTGTTTTGCAGTAGAAGACACACTCTTAGGTGCCTTGCCCTTATGAGATGTAAGCATCATCTGTCTTGCAGAACAGCTTTCACTTTTCTTTGTGGCGTCTACAGTCACTCGGCGAATCACTTGACATGACCGGGATACTAAGCTTAACATGTAGATAGTGTCTTGGCAAAAAGACGGGTTCTATATATACAAAATAGATAAGGACCAACACCAAAAATAAATTAGTAATTGAAAAGAATGCAAATACCCAAGAGTCGGAAATTTGAAAAAAATGCATGATCATGAGAATTACCATGCAGACAACCATCAAAATTCGGCTTGTCCCTCTCATAGAGTCCTGCAGCATGCGCGTAAGTTTACTCTCACGATAGGGGACACGACTTTCATTGGTGCTCAAAGCATGACAGACATTTAGTAAAGCATATATGGACTTGTTAATTTTATTGGTTTCAGTTAGACAAGAACTATCACAACTCTTCTTCCTGCCATCTTCATAACCTAATAAGAAAATTGTGGAGCATGGGTCAACTTAAAACATATAATCATAGCCAAAAAAATACCATATATAAAAGATTATAACCTGCCAAGTCAACAAAATTCATTTTGCCCACAAAGCCAGTTTCTGCGCCCTTAGCATCAGAAAAGACATACACCATTAATCCCACATGGGTCCTACGAGCATGGTCATTCCCTTTTTCATGGCTGCTTTTCGAGTAGCACAAGCAGTGAAGTATGCTTTCTGAAACTCTGAAATGGATTTCACTGGAATCTGCAAAACATAAATGTTAACAAACCCTCCTACATTAGTACATTACTTATACAGTGCCATTGTTTTAGGTTTCTTTCTTTAGTGTCCAATGACGATGAACTAGCAAGTACCAGTTACCAGATAATTACCTGCGAAAGCCCCTTAAATTGAATACGGCCTCGGTCATCCAGAACTGAAATGGCTGGTTGTTCTGGATTTAATAAATCAACAGCATGATCCAAATGATCAACCTCATAGAGTGATATAGCAATAGATTTGCCATTTTGTTCGGCCAGTGAAAGAAACTCAGCGACAGCAAGCACAGACAAGCCAGGTATCTTGGCAGAACCCTTGGAAAGCAAAAGATTATTAATTAATGGCTTATTGTTAATCGTCAATATACATGCACAAAAGAATTTAACCGAAACTGAAGATCATAATTTGTTCAGGAAAAGATATAGGATGAATAACAGTGTCAAACCTGAATCACATGAGTCTTTCCACTACCTCTTGCCCCATACGCAATAATAGAGCTGTTATGGCCTTCAAAAACTGTAGATATAAGAGGCTTCACATCTCTTGAATAGATTATTTCATTTTCTTCGTTGTCCCCATAACAATAGTCCACCCAGTAAGATTCTTTCCGACTGCGGCCATAAAGATTAACCACTACGAGATTAGTGTTTGTTAAGAGTTCAGGGATGACCATACATATCACTGAAAACAATGACAGGGACAGAATGGCTTGCCTACAGCAAGATGGCATGGGTTTTTTCTTCCCCCCAATTAGATGGAGGCCGTTGTTGTGCCAAAAATAATTGGTCATAAAATAATTATTAAAAATCTACCATGTTAGGCCAACCAAAGTGCGCACCAATTAGCTAGATTAGCTCACAGAAACTCCGATATATTCTGCCCATTTGATCAACCTTCAACCCTCATCTTGTTGCGTGGGGGTGGTGGATGATGAAAGGCTATTAAGTGTTTTTCTTTAATTTATACGTTTAGGTTCCAATTCCCACAAATTGCACATGGCAAAATTATGAGCCTCAAAACTTCAAATGACAATATCAACGTTCATCCAGTACCCCAAGCAGTGAAAAGGAATTGTACAACTGAATGGATGATTAAGGAGTATAATGGGTAATATTAAAACCTGCAGTTCCAATTTTCAAGAATTGGACGATATAAAAATAACAAACCCCAAATTAAACACCAAATCTCAATTTCAACATTAGCCCATTAACCAAACAGGTGAAAAGAGGTTATATTACTGAACAAGTAAAGTGTTGAAGTCTGTTTACCACAACGTGGTCAACTAAAAGTAACAAAAGCCAAATTCAACTCCAAATTTCATTTCGACGTTCGCCCAGTACCCAAAAAGATGGAAAAGGTTTTACAGTTCAACAATGCCCAAAGCTCACTGAAGAAGTACCTGGAGGAATGGTCCCTGAAGGAGATTGCGATTCCCTCTGAACTCTCTCCGGGAGGCTTGTTCACCGAAATCCAGTCCACGGATCTCAAAGATCCAGCCTGAGCCTCACCCTCCTGAAACGCAGAGCCCCTAACCTTGGTCACGACCCGAACCTTTCGACCTGGGTTCGGTCCTGCGCTGTCAGCCTTGGAAGGATCGAATTGCTTCGCATTAATCGAATCCATCGAAATGAAGACTAGGCTTCCTCAATCGGTCAAGATTTACAGAAACTCGAACCCCGTAAAAATATTGATTCTGTGTAAAACAGCAAAAGAAGGAAGAGAGCGTGCTCTGAATTATGCACAGTGAGGACCGGATTTGTTCTGCGCTTGCTTTTCTCGATTTTTTTTATTTATTTTGTTATCCGAAATATATTTATTATCCGAAGTAGAGGTAGCCGTTGGGGATTTCAAATTATTGAGTTATTGGACGAAGCGGATTTGGGTGTCTCAACGGCTACGCTGCTTGCCAAACGCTTCCCTGAAACGCCAATGAAACTGTGCGTTTTATTAATGTGCGTGTATGGCTATTGAGTAGATGATCAATCCGTCGAAATACGCTCGGGGTCGGGGATAAACGATCCCTTTTTCTCCTAAATGTTCTTGCATTTAATAATTCTTTTTTCATATATTTCAGAATTCAGATAACCTTTCATTTCGATAAATGTAGATTCTAAAATAGAGATTATTTTCTGACTTTTATATTTTTAAAATATAAATTTAAAAGTTAAAGATTACATAATATTATGAAACATTTTGAAACATGATATCACACAAAAAAGGCCTTATAAATTTACTTCCGATATAAGAGTTACTCTGTGTAATTAATTATATTTAAAAAATTAGTTAAATTAGTTATTTGTAAAAAATAAGTATTGAGTTTCTTAAAAAGAAAAACTAATTTGGTAGTCCTTATAGTTATCTTGAGTTTTGAATTAGGTTCCTATATTTATTTTCCTTTTTAGCATATCCTTCAACTTTATTCAGTCAAATGTGTTAGTCCTTAACATCAAAAATTGTATAATAAGAAGTAACAGTGTTAAAAAAAAATCCGTTAGACTATCTTAATTCCTTCAAGAGACCAAGCTTCAGGACCCTTCCTCACCGTCACTTGCCGCCTACCTTCTCTCACATTCATCTCCTTCTATCTAGCTTCTTCAACATTTCCCATTATGGTATCACAGCTTCTTAGTAATATATTTAACATTATGGATTTGAAGTGAATTCAAAAGGACCAACTTGAGTGAGGACTGAGTATAAAAAAGGGTGAGTGAGTTGGGGCAACAGGATAGCATCAAGTTATCCGCCGACGACATCACCAAAGCATAAGCCTTTCATTTAAGTAATCACAGCAAAAATTCATATTCAAGACTGAAGAGTTGATGCCTTGCGAAGGAAAAGAACGTTTGAGAGAGAGATAGTAAAGGGAGGAGAAAGAAAGAGTATGAGAAAAAAATTATTTTGCAGGTACCTTTAATTTTCACATTTATAGGCTAACGGATTCTTTAACATTGTTAGCTCTGATTAAACGGTTTTTGACGTTAAGGATTAACGCATTTGACAGAGTGAACTTGAAGGATATGATAAAAAAGAAAATAAATGCAGGGACCTGATTCAAAACACAGGATAACTAGAAGGACTATCAAATTAATTTTCCCTTCTTAAAATATTCATTTTAATTATGTTGATAAAAATTCCTTATAATTAATAGGGATATTTTAGAGAAAAAATATAAATTTAAAAAATAAAATAGATTAAAGTTTTATTTTTTTTTTTATTATGAAATTTTAGGAAAGGGGTCGGGCTCACCCACGATCCAAGGGCAGGGCCCCTAACGCTTGATCCACTGGGGCCTGTCCCTATGGGCACGGGAGCATGACAAGCAAGCCCTTTTTTTTTCTGGCCCAAAGGTAGGAATCACCCAGCTTCACTACGCTTGTGGAGATGCCTCTCCCAGCGCCGCGACTGGAGCCACAAAAAAGTGGCACTCCCCAAGATCGAACCCCCTCCTTTTGGTGAGAGAGTTCGACCCCTTCGCCAGCTGAACCCACGGACGAGGGGTATTAAAGTTTTATATTTAAGATATCACATATGACTCTTAATTAGTTCTTATATTAAAAAGGTTAGTATAAAGGAGAGGGTATCGTATTAATACATACTACTTATGATCTTTAATATAAGAGCTAATTGACTAATTTAAATAAATTAGGGAAGTGTGTTAAGTTAGTTATCTATAATAAATGGGCACTGTCTTTCTTAGAATACGTTTGTTATTAATGTGTATTACTCAGAACTACCATTTGGTACGTGCAATTAATACAAAGACTATTTTGAAAAACATGAAAAAATATAAAAGACAAAGTATATTAGCGTGTTATATTTAGAACTAAATTAAAGATTAAACTAGCTCTTAATTAGTTCTTATATTAAGGAGGTTAGTATAAATGAGATGATATCATATTCATACATACTACTCCTGGTCCTTTATATAAGAGCTAGTTGACTAATTTAAGTAGATTAAGAAAACTAGTTAAGTTAATTATTTGTAATAAACATGTATTGTCTTTCCTGAAATATTCTTATATCCTTATTAATCAAGCATATTGGTTAAAACTACTATTATTACAAGGACTATTTTAAAAAAAATAGATAAACATGAGAGATAAAGTGAATTATAATTTTATATATAAGACCAAAATAAAAGTCAAACAAATTTTTATATTGAGATCCGAAAGCAGTACTATGCACCTTAATTAGCATAGGTCTCTCCTTCACCATGACAATAACTAAGAGCAACAAAACCAAGCCGCACGTGCTTAATATCCCTCCTTTAAATCATTGATGAGCTTTACAATCGATACTTTATTTGAGAAGATATATAATCGAGGATGAAGTCCGCAGAGTCAAGATTAATCGAGACTTTGTTTATTTGTTATTATGATTAAAATCATTTGTAAACACGTTTTATATAAGCCGAGATAAAACTCTTTTTATATATTTATTTTGTATTTTGTAAATCACGGTTAAAAAACTACTTAGGGGTGTTCACGGGACGGATCGGGACCGGGACAGGCCCGTCCCGGTTCCGTCCCGATGAACAGTAACGGGACAGAAAATCTGTCCCGTGTCCCGGCCCGTCCCGGGGTTGTCCCGGTCCCGGTCGGGACGGGACGGATCCGGGACGGGACCGGGACGTCCCGAAATATTTTTTTTAATTTTTTTAATTTTTTTAAATTTTTTTTAAATTTTTTTAAAAAAATCTGATTTTTTTAATTATATTTTTTTGACCTTAAATCTTATAAAAACATCTTTTTTATTTGTTTGGGCACTCTTAAACAAAAGCTCAAAATATTACATATAATAGTTATTAAAAACTCTAAACAAAAGCTTTTAACACAATAAAAACTTGCTAAAAAATCTAATCATCAATAATCTCAAATCATTAACAAATATAAAAACTCTAAATAAATATATCCATAGTTCCATACAATAGTCTCAAATCTTAAAAAAATATGAAAAAAATGATATTATATAAAAAGTTAAAAAAATTAAATTTTTTTTTTTAAAAAAGGGACCGGGACGACCCCGTCCCGTGTCCCGTCCCGTCCCAGTCCCTTTTTTGTCCCGTCCCGAAAAATTTCGGGACGGATCCGTCCCGTCCCAATAAGACCGGGACCGGAACGGGCCGACCGGGACGGGCCGGCTTTGAACACCCCTAAAACTACTTATAAGTTATTCTAAATAGGCACTGTATAGTTTTTATGATTTGACCTGCTCCCTTGAGGCAATCTCCCTCCAAAAGTATCACTGGTTCGCTCAAACGATGAGGTTAAGCATGGTAGTGACTCCGGTATTAAATATAAAAATTGGTTAACTCATTTAAATAAACTAAAAAAATTAGTTAAATTAATTATTTGTAATAAATATGTTTGTCTTTTTTAAAATATTCTTACTAATCAAATATATTCACTACAACTATCATTATTGCAAACACTATATTAAAAAATAAATAAATATGAGAAAGATAAAGTAGGTTGAGATCTTATATTTAAGATCAAAATAAAAATTAAACAAGCTCATATATTAAGTAGCAGTTGTAATATAAAACAGGGAGAATTACAATCAAATCCCACAGAAAAAAATAATTACTAAAAAATCCCAATAACAACCTCTACAGCCTATAATGACAAGTCCTATAGTGAATAATGGTTTTCGAGCATACCTGAAGAAAACTCGTGTTCTTACAGGTAGCCACGCGACAGTCTGGTTACCGATGAACTCAGACAGACGAGTTACACAACAAATGCACCAAAAAAGAGCAGAGGAAATGGAAGCGGTTATCTAGCTATTTTTCACGTTCTACCAAAATGAGGAACTCCAGCCAAAAAAATAAACTGAAGTTGCGTGACCATTACCCTCAAAATTGTTAATTTGAACAATGACCCAATAATTCTGTTATTCACACAAGTACCCTAATGTAAATGGGTTTAAGCCCAATCCACCAAAGGTGGACCTATTTCCCAACTGTAAAAATGATAACCTATGATACTTATTTTTTAATTATTTCCCTTGCTTAAGAGCTTGTTGTAATTCTCTCCATAAAATATATAGATATTGAAGTATACGCATATTCTATAATTTACACGACCACACAAAAGTCCGGCTCAAGCCTGTTCAACGGAGCAAATCAGCTTTACATCAGCATAGCTTTAACATTGATTATAAAATTAATTTTGAAGTTTACATTAACCTATTTTTATCCGTTCTTAAGATTTGGTAGGAAAACGACAACTTGGTTCAGCAAGCAGATGCTCAGCTTTCGGCATTGAAAGACCAAACTTCTCCTTCATATCCAGATCTTCCGGTGTCATCCCAGGCGGAAGCTCCCACCGGAAACAATGGATCAGCTGAGCCACCACCAGCTTTACCGTGCACAGCCCCAACTGTATCCCCGGACACCCCCTCCGACCAGTCCCGAAAGGCATAAACATCAGACTATCTCGTCCTCGGAAATCCACCTTCGTCTCCAAAAACCTTTCCGGCCAAAACTCCTCCGTCTTCTCCGGCCAAGCCTTAGGATCTCGCCCCAACGACCACATGTTCACTATAATTCTCGTCTTCTTCTCTACGTAATAACCACCAACCTCGACATCCTCCAGCGTCTCTCGAGGTAGTAAGGACCCTGCCGGGTGTAATCTGAAGGCCTCTTTAATCACCATTTCTAAGTAGTTCAATTTCCCGATGTCTTTCTCTCCTACGAGGTTGTCTGCTCCGATTACAGCATCAAGCTCGTGTTGGAGGATTTTCATGACTCTGGGGTTTCTCAGAAGCTCCGATAGGGCCCACACGATGATGGTGGCGGAGGTCTCTAGGGCGGCGCCGATCATGTCGACTGCGATGGCCTTGATATTGGTTCGATCGACGTCGCCGTTTTCGTGCATCAGCGAGAGTAGTATGTCGACGAAGTCGTCGTGGTGTGCTTTGGAACTGAAAGCTTGCTCGTGTTCCTTTAATATCTCCTCCAACACTCCATCCAATGCTTTGCTAGTTCTCTTGAATCGTCTTCTCATTCCCTGATATGTGCCCAAAAATGTAAATTCCCGATACTTTATACATGTTACAAGTTTCCAACTTTAATTTCGGCCCTTTGAAAATTTAATTTAAAACAAGAAACACAGTTAATCATACCTGAAAATCAAACACTCCAAGCCAAGGAACATAATCAGCAAGATTAAAAGCACCAGAAAGATGCATAACTTCTTGAACAATCCCCTTCAAATCATGTCCATCTTCCTTCTTCGTATCACACCCCAGTATCGTCTTATAAACTATACTTTCCAGAACATCATTAACAACTTCACTAAGGTTTACAATTTGACCCGCCATAGCAGCCTTCTCAACCTCTTTCACCATTTTTTCAACTTCCTTCATCCTCAAAGGAGCGAAGGACTCCACCTTTGACGCGCTAAGAAGGTTCAGCTTGCATAGCCTTCTCATGCTCCGCCAGTAAGGACCGTACTCTGAGAACACTAACCCTTTGCATCCATAGGAGAAGTACTCGACGGCTTCGAGCAGAGGCCGGTTGGCGAACACGACGTCGTTGGACTTGATGAAGAGCTCGGCGGCTTCCGCTGAGGACAGTACTATGGTCGTGACATGTCCAAACCTTAGGCTCATGATGGGTCCGTAAGTTGTGGCTAGGGCTTGGAGGGAACGATGTGGGAGTTCGCCTAGCAGGAGGAGATGGCCGAGCACCGGGAAGCCAGGTGGGCCGGGCGGTTGTTTCAGCCCATGTTTACGGCGGCGGCCCTTTAAGGCGGCGGCAACGATGGATGTGAGTAGGAAGGGGAGGAGGGCTAGGAGGATATCCAAAGTCCAAGAGAACATGTTTATCTGGATTGGTTTGTCATGATCTTGGTGGTGAGGTCTATTTTATATACAGAATATGGGCAGAGGCAGTTCAATCTTCCAAAAAGGCGATATTCCATGTACAATTTATTCCTAGGGTGATTTTTGTTTGTGATAACAATTAAACTACTCATTTTTAGCGTAAAGAATGTAAACACCTTTTCACTTACAAGGAACATCAAGGCCAGCTATGCTGCAAAGTTTTTGGCAAATGTTACTAATAATATTACTACTACAGTTTGTTTATTCTAATTTGATTGACAAAAGTATTATTTTGAATTCTTAATATAAAAGCTAGATAAGAGATTTATTTTGATAATAAATATTCATAGCACAAGACTCGCATCTAATGACCATATGACCATATCTCATAAAATAGCAAATCACATAGCATCACTAATAGCATCTTTCCTTTTGTCTCTTTCTGTCGTTTAACTCATAATAGCATCTTTCTGGCCGGCAATACTCTCCTTCAGCTGTTTTTGTTTGTTTTTTTTTTAAACTTTAAAAAACCTTTTAAAATTATTTCGATTAATTTTCTTTTTAGAATGAATTTCGATTAAATTATTACTCAACATAAAACATTCTTATAAATTAAATTCCTACTAGGGCACTACTGCCTCCAAATCTCCAATCTTTAATTATAACAACTACTTAATTAATTTAGATAAATTTATTGATTATAACAAATGTGACCAAATAATTAGTTCAAAGAAAAATAATAAGAGTTAACATAACTTTTTGCCCCTAAAATTTGGGCCAATTTTATTTTAGTTCCTCAAATTTAAAACATTTGATTCTTGAAATTTAATTCGTCTTAAAATATCAGTTTTTGTGAAAATATAAGGTTTATGGTGTTAAAATATGTTGAAGTATTATAAATAATGTTAAAATGGTGATATAAACCACCCGATAACACATATTTGAATCTTGTATGAATAACAAAGAATAAAAAAAAAAAATCCTCAAATCGCAATTTGTTTAGTCTTCTTTTTTTTTTTCTCACTGTTTGCTTAAGGAGTTGTTTGCCACACAAAGTTTTGAAAACTCATCGCTCCTTTGTACAATTGTTCTTTGTGTTGTGTTTTGAAGACCTTTTTTTTTTTGGGTTATCCACAAGATCTAGTTAGATGTCATTTGGTAACACCATTTATGTCATTTCAGTAAATTTTAACACTGGTATATCTTTAGGAATTACTGTTATAAAACAAACTAAATTCTAAGAATTAAAACTATGAGTTTAAAATTTGAAAGACTAAAATCAAAATGAATCCAAATTTCACAGACAAATTATATTCACCCTAATAATAAATATGCAAGACAAATTAAATTGAACTAAATTCAACCCCATGGAAGGGATATCGTATATTTAGAAAAGTAATAAAATATGTAAACATGTGTGACGCCATATCTTATCACTACGTTTATTATTGGTTTCCATCTTACCACTGTCTAAATATCACATATGCATGTATACACAGTTACACATGCATGCAAATTATGAAATTAAATGAAAGCAGTCCCCCATCTGACTCATCTAATCAATGGTATCCTCCAAAGTTACAAGAATAATTATATAAAAAAAAACTAATGGAGAGATACAATAAACAAACGAACAATCTCATTATGTTGTATCAAAAATATCTGGAAACGCATAATCGCTGAGGATCTGACTTCAACATCAGTGGGTGCTTCCAAAATTTGAACTGACATTGCCATACGACACGAGAAATTCTAAAATTGCATGCCTTGTACCAAAGGAAGACGCAAGAAGTTTATCAAAACTGAAAGCAAACCCCATCATTTGAAAAACAACAATTCTTTGTGAGTTTCATTGACTCTATTCCTATGCAGCTTAACATTTCTTGATATGATATATAACATACATAACTCCACGTGTACTCCTCAAAACCTTGGGTAGAGGAAGGTGAATGCAGAAATTGTAGACCGTGATGAGTCTATTAGCAGAGGGTGAAAACTCAAATTCTGATCAACACGCATTGCAGCTTTTCCTGCATGTACCAAAGTAATCAGGAGAGCCAATCATGTACACAGGATTTCTTTGACATTCTCCCATGGCAGCCCAGGTGGCACAATTATCATCCTCATCAGTACATTCATCCCCGCCATATAATGAGGGTGAGATCTTTTCCCCATCAATTGGTCTTGCATAGAAGGATTTGGTTGCAGACCACATTTCACCCTCAAGAACAGGGCATCTAGCATGTGAGCTGCTTTTGTCAGGAGATGCACTAAGGTGAAGAGAGAAAAACAGAATTGCATTCCCTTTGATTGGTTTGAGATAATTATCACTTTTACTACAGTCATACCAGCTTGCAATCTTGGGCTGTCAACGTGTTCGGTATGATTTAGTAGTAAAGACAGGCTCAGAACCAGATGAACAGAAAGATAAAGCACATGTGAAAAAAGGCTACGGAATGTGCTAGCTCACCTCTGACTCAGGGAAGAGAATTTGGCCCCCTTGAGTGACATTCGAGAGAAATAAAACAACTGTAGCCATCAAGGATCCACTCAATTCCAACTCAGATTTGTTAAAAAAGCTGTAGTTTTGTCCAGCCTTTTCAAGTCCATAATACATGACCCGCATACGCTTGCTGTTCTCTGGTAAAAATTATTATCATGAAATCAAGTGAAACTATACATTAGAATGTGCATCACACAAGTCACGGGCAGATAAATTCTGGCCAGGAATGACAATATTGAGAGTGATACCTTTAGGAAGGAAAGTCCAGAGCGAAATTCTTTCTTCAATCCTTGCAACAATATCATCCTAAAAACAATGTAAAACATTACCACAACAATATCCAGAAAATTGTGTCTCTGACGATAGGTGGCTGAGAAAATAAGCTTAAAACAACAAGCAATTTTGGTATTGGCAAGTGCAGCAAAAAGGAAAGACACTTTTCCTCCTTTTTTTTTTTTTTAAAAAAAAAACAACATTTCAAGCTTTCTATTGCAGTAATTCAAAATACATGATGTAAAAGATCAAAGCCCATAAAATATCATAATAAGAGAACAAGAGAACTTCTAATAGTAGTTATGAAAGGCAGCAGGACTGCTAGCCTGTGAAAGAAACATACATGCATGTACGCACTTTACAATGCCTGCTTTTCATTTCCCAGTTTGCATTTAAATTGTCCTAGGTAACGAGTTTGCATATTTAAAACAGGAATCTTCAAGCTGGTTCCTGGAAGTTTGATATTGAAAGTTCCCCTCGCTGATATCTTGGAAACCTCATAAAATTAAAGTCAATAGATAGCACCACTTTTGGTTGCTGTTATCCCTGAAAGCCAAATGTTTATATACATATCCATGCATACATTCTTTCTTAAGTTTTCCATAGGCCAGGAACCAAAACAAGGTTCTTATCCAAATAGAAATTGACTTTTGTCTCATTATTTAACGTATGTAACCTACAGTGAAAAAAAGAATAACAATGGGAAAAGATGGGGAAGGAAAAGGACGGAAAGTTGTAAGGAGAATACACTACACACTATAAGAGATGGTATACAGATTTTAAAACAGAAACTCGGGTGCAATGAATATTTGATACATGCTCCACTTTGGAAACTAGAAGTGATTATTAAAGTTAGAAAGGTGCCATATTTGCAAATAGATGGAAAAGAAAACAATGGAAAGCATAAGAAAAATGAAGAGTATCCACAGATGATAAAATGAAAAGAATAAGACTAATTATACAAGAGATCTACATAGTAGAACGTTCAAAAAGAACACTTATTGCAATGGTTCACACAGGGGTAATCCAGTTGATAGATTCTTAAAACAAGAGAATCCATTTTGAATTTATAGTGGCTTACCTTAAACACATATAAAAACACTTTGCCATCGATAAAACAATTCAAAAACATACAAAAACCACCAAACTATCCATTCGTATGCAAAATCTTCAAAGCCTTGAAGTCATGAAAAGCACAACCCAAAATATAACTACAAATAGAACCTAATTTGACAATTTTAAAACAAGCATCTTCCAAGGTCATCCATCCAGCTAAATAAACAAAAGTTCACACTCACTTCCATAGTCAACAAAGTTTCTGAGGTAAGCTTCTTGTTTGTCGCATCTCCCTCTAAATGATGATCCTTCTCTGAGGATTTTTCTTTCACAGTTTGTGCCTAAGAAAAATAAATAATTAAATCCAAAGTCTCGCCTAAGCGTCAGGAACCAACATGCTAACTAACAGAAGGGAATAATACCAAAGAAATAAGATAGTCACACTCCTTATCTGACAAAAAACCCTCGTAGAGAAAGACCCTATAGCACAAGGGGCAACAGCAAAGTTTAAAGGCACAACAAGGAGGAATAAACAAACAGGTTAAAGAAAATAGAATATTGTATATTTAAACCTGTAGAGCCCTCCAAAGTGATGACCTATCAGAGAATAACTATTAGAGAAAAGTTTTCAAAAGTACCTGACCTTGGTCGCCAAGAGAGTTGGTGAACATGTGTTGGGTCAATTTGGTTGGAATGAATTGAGTGGTCCAATAGTAAGGAAGTTTTCTGGCTCAATTCCTTATTCCTCAATTCCTTCCGGCTACAAAAGGAAACAAAGCAATATAACATTGTATATTAGTAATAGTGACTGATAACCGAATGGAAGGAAATATGTTCACGATTGGCCAGAGGAAGAAATCTTTCTTTGACTTGGGAACTTACAGGGCAAGGGTTCACGGTGCACCTATTTGGACAACATATCACCAAACCAAAGATTCCACAACACATATAGGCATATTTACATATTACAAGTTGCAAGTTAGTTACATACACACACAAAAAAGAAAAACACCTTAGCCAGCCATTCTTATCTCCTATACATTTACTCCATCTTTTTCGCTTAATAATATAAGAATTTAACCAAACAGAAAATCAGAAAAGGAATAACCATAACGAACAAATTTACGAAAGAGTGCTCTGAATCATGCAGGCATCTCCAGATCTACATCCATACCAAGGATCCCCCCCCCCCCCCGAGTGAAGATGATTCATTCAATCAACGCCGATTTGCAAAAGATCTTCTACAAAACGCAAACTTCTTTCATCTTCCTCCTCCTCGATGAACCAAGGGGAAGGGGTGACTAAAGATGCAGCTATGACTGGACATACTCTGAACAAACTAAGCTAATCTATCAGCCTTCCTAACGTAATCCCGATACGCAAAGTCTAAATGTAGACCATGTTCTATCAATGAGCAACGTAGCTTCCTGTAGGATATCAACAAATGGGTTGATCCGACCCTCGATGCCCGTCGTGATTAAGCTGATGGAATTTCCATACCAAGGATTTCAAAGTTAACGTTATTATGACGATGATTAGAATTCAACAAGTACATTTGTTTCAACGACATTCTTACCTACATTATAAATTAGAGTGATCAAGACAGTATTGTGGTTTTTTTTTTTTTTAAAAAAAAAGGTATAATTTTGGAAAAATGTGAAATTCTCACGTTGAAAGAGGTATATAATCTTTTTCGAAACATAAACTCCACCTTCATACCAGGACTATTCTCATATCCAACAAACATCAACAACGATCTAGCTTAAATCAGATAACTAAGGAACCCATACTTCCCATTTAGATGGTTAGTTGATCACGTAATTTAATGGAAAAGAATAAAGGAAGGTTCCGCATTCGAATTCTCAGACAAAATTGATGCAGGAGAGAAATGGACGGGCATTTCACCTTTCCGTAAAATAGCTTCCAAGGCAGCAGGCAAAGAGCGAAAGCAAGAACACAGTGACGAGGGACGCCATTATGGACAGGGAAGAAGCCCAGACAAGATCAACCCCAGAGAAATAATGCTAGTCTATCTCCAAACCAGAAAGGCCGAAACACGACTTTTGTTTAGCGATGGATTTCAATTGCCTCTGCCAAATTAATTGACATCTCGAAAGTCTGTCACTTTGTTGGCGAAAAAGGAAAGTTCCTCACTTTATTTCCAAGTTTCCCTTGCGATAACTGATGAGAATCTTGAGAGTAGATCAACTTATTTTTATTTACTATTTTAAATTTTTATTTTAATCTTAAATATAAAACCTAATCTATTTTTTGTTTTATATTTATTTATTTTTTAAAAATAGTTCGTATAATAATAATAATTATAATTAATCCGGTTCATTAGTAATAATATTTTAGAAAAAACAATACATATTTATTATAAATAACTAAATTAATTTTCTTAATATATTCAAATTAATCAATGAGCTCTTATATTAAGAGCCGAAGATAGTATCAATTAATTGATACTCTTATTGTGTTTAATACTACCTCTGATTTTTAATATTTTTAATATAATAATTTGTTTGGTTTTTAATTTGGTTGGCAAACATAATCTGTTATTCTAGTTACTAAACCAAATTGAAAGCCCCGATTAGAATATAATTTTCCTGTTGAAAACTCATCTTGTCCGATTTAAAATATTAATTATCCAATTCTCGTATGGTCCTCGTATTTCGATTTTGAATTTTTGATGCCATGCCCGTGGTAAGTTCTCAGTGCGCACGCAAATTGCCAGTTCTCAGTGCAATATTCAGATTATGAAAAACCAAAATTCCAAATTAACTAACCTCACAACATTTACCTTGCTTTTCGCGTTTATTTTTGGGCCAACCACCTTATCTCTTACTTGGGTTTGGACAACGGAAATGGATTACTTTTGTGGTGAGCATGAAAAGCCCAGTCATCAATAAGTAGATCCACAATCTTTTTGCAGGGTACAAAGTAGATCCACAATGAGTAACACCTTAAAAGTGGATCAATAATAAGCCTAAATTCAAAATTGGGTCCATTAGACCATAACCCCGTCAAAAACACACAAAAAAGACTTGCATCGCTAACCTAAGAGCTTCGCTATAAAATCGATACTGATTCCGAAAAACCCTAGTTCGGCTCGGACCCTCTGCACCGTCGTCGCTCTTTCCCCTCTCAGAAGCCACAAGGTAAAGATTTCCACCGTAGCTCTTCTCGCCTTGGTTCCCTAATTTGGTGTTTAGTTGCTTATAATCCTCCGGAAAGCCAAAGAAGCTCATGATGTAATGAATAGCTCATATGTATTGGAAATATTCGATGTAGAACATCACTTTATTCTGGGTTTGGCCCGATTTTGTTGATTTTTCATCATACAAACACAATAACTTCCGTCTGCGTATGGTTTATGCTTGCAATATTCTTTGGTAAAACTATGATTAAGTAATGTTTGATGGGATCAGTCGAGCTGAAGAACCAATGTTATTGTGTTCTCTTTTGTTCTCTTTTATACCGTGAAGGCTTGTGTTATTGTAAATAAAGCTTCGCGTTTTTGGCTCAGGGAATGGCTCCTAAGCAGCCAAGCACGGGCCTTTTCGTCGGGCTGAACAAGGGCCATGTGGTGACCAAGAAGGAATTGGCTCCACGCCCATCAGATCGCAAGGGGGTAAGCTATTTTTGATGCCTCAGGTGTTCATTACTTTTCTGCTCAAATTTGAAGTATGTTAAATGATAATAATTATCTTTCGTAGCAATTGCCTGCGAATAATACAGCATCGCACTGGGGTCCTCTAATTGTTACTGACATGATATGTTTCCGTTATTAGATGAAATTTCCTGCTCTGCTTATCGAAAGCAGTATTAATTCTGTCGAAGTGTACTGGTACTTGCAACGAGTTACCAATTGTAACGCCAATATGAATATCACAAATTCTATATAGATAGTTGAGTCTTGCGTAACTACTGCTTCTTTCACTTTGGTGTTATTAACTGATATCATGCTGGTTGCGTAATATTTCACATCTAGAGGCATGTGATGGTCCAGAAGAATGTTATATATCAATTTTATTTATGTTTTTTATGTGGCGTTTATTGTGACCTAGCTTGAGAGGGCTTTGGATCATGTTGCATCTTTAAATTTTGTAATGTTACTGTTCAATTGTATTTCTTTGAGGTTTATCTTGTGCAACGAACACCATGTATGGCTGGTTTGAAATTTCTAGTGGTATATGCAGAAAACAAGCAAGCGTGTCCATTTCGTGAGGTCAGTGATACGAGAGGTTGCAGGACTTGCTCCATATGAGAAGCGTATTACTGAGCTTCTCAAGGTTGGTAAAGATAAAAGAGCATTGAAGGTGGCCAAGAGAAGGTTAGGCACTCACAAGAGGGCTAAGAAGAAGCGTGAGGAGATGTCCAATGTTCTCCGGAAGATGAGGTGATCCCACGACCTTTTAATGTTTATGTGCTTGTGTTAATATCCACCATAGGTTCACAAACAGGCTCGTTTGTTTTGTAGGTTGACTTGTTTGTAATAATTAATTTGCTCATTTTCTCTGTTATGGTGACAGGGCTGGTGGAGGTGGAGAGAAGAAGAAGGCTTAATTTTCCATTTTCACGGGAAGCGTAATAGCACTGATATCTTAGTATTTGTGTAATTCAATTTTCATAATTGAAGACTAATTACTTTTAGAAGCATGTGTTTTGATAAATGAAGAATGGCAGGTACCCTTGTCTAGTTTTGTTTATTTCAATCTAATATTTGTGAGCGTGGTTCACTTGGAATGTATTTTTTCGTCTCTGCATCTACCCATCATTGATTTTCTGGTCAAATTCTATTGCATCCGAAGTTCCTCAATATTCCTAGCGTCGATTATTTGACCACCTGCTGTGTGAAAGTGAAATCCGCTATAATAGGATGTACTCCTTGTTTTTAGTAGAGTAATTGTCACTATATAAAAGTGAATTGGATATGGAACCGTATTGGGGAAGTTAATATCAATTTGTTTCCTCAACCATTTATATACCTGAAGGAAAAAATGTCGTCAGAGGGATGGTGGATAAACTTCATCTTACTAGTGAGCAATATATTTCATATTTGAGAGCCATTACAACACTATCTGAGCTAAAGGTTCATATTCAAATTTAGAGTTCAAGTTCTTGAGAATTTCTTTTTATGTAAGAGGCATGTTTGTTAGCATGAGCTGTAGATTCAGGAGCCAAGTATGCGGTGAGCAAACTTTTTCTGAGGTGCAAGATATCATTAACGAGATGAGACAATGCGTGGCCTCTGCCATCTCTACCGTCGAACTCGAGTAACATATTTGAAATCCATTTCTCACCTCTTTTTTAATTCTCCTGCAAAGGCAGCCAGTTATCTATCGATTAAGTGCAGGTCTCGTGTTTTATTACAGATCAAGTTAGACTTCTTGCGTCAGCTTCATTCTTCAGTCCAATTCAGCCAGCGTTTTATTGTGATTTAAGATTAAGGGGGGGTGTTTGGGCTGGTGACGGTAAAAGTGACTTATTTTATTTGAATTTTGCAAATATAAATTGGGATAAAAGTTGGCTAGTGTAATATGTTTTATGTGGAGGTTGATCTTTATAAAAGTCGGTTTAATAAATTGAAAGTTATTGGAAAAGATGATAAAAATTAAAAAAGAAATGAGTTGTAAAACGATTTATAAATTAATATGTAATCTAACAATATGTATAAACATTTTAGAGAGATCATATAACGTATATAATCAAGTAATTGATTTAGTTTTTTTAATCTGTTCAAATTAGTATATTGATGTTTTATAGTACATCATAGGTATTCAATTAGTTTTTTTTTTTTTAGGAAAAAAAATCAAATTATTGGATTAGTATATGGCCCACTTAGTATCCTTATCTTTCTTTTCTATTTTCTGTGTTCTCTCTCCATGTTATGAACAGAAGCTCAAACTTCTAACTTCCACTTCAAAGTGACTTTTTCCTAGAGGTCCATTTACTTCCATCTTAAATCCAAACATCCCTTTAGTTGCAAATAACACAATAAGTTCGTCGTACATTTTTCAAGTCACCTTTCAGAGGCTCAAACGCTGCTCCAGACATGCTCTTACCCTTCATTCTGGGTTCTTCAGTATGGAAATCACACCTCATGGATCGGGGGAAAAACATTGGATAAATCAAACTTGTACTCTCGTTATCGTTCCGATACTTGTTTCCTCAAAGAAGCAAGCCAAGTTCATTCTGCATGAGTCATGTGTCTTGATCTTGAGTAGGGAGGAATTTTGATTAGTTATCTTCTTTGCAACCTTTTGTTTTTCTGCTTCACTTGAAGGATCTTCTGTCACTAGTAGAGATTAATTTTTATCATTTTTTTTATCAAGTTCTTACTGTTTGATCAGTTTTAATGAAGGTCTTTCTGTTACTAACGTTGTTAGTCTAAAGGAGTGTTTGGGTGGATTTTATAATATACAAAATAAATATGTTTGGGTGAATTGCACTTTTGGAGTGATGTAAAGGCATTGGCTTCTTTCTCTCCCTCTTTCCCTCAATCTCCTTTAAACCATGCAATGCTTTCTCTACATCATCATCATCCTGCTTGCCAACCTTTCCAACGAGCAACCCCCACTCTCCTTCCTCACTCCCCTCCCATTCTCACTCTCACTCTCTCTCTCTCTCCTTCCTTCCTTTCTCTCTCTTTCTACTATCTTCACTGCCATGAGAAACTCTTGCAAGAATTTTGACACTATGAATGTTGGGGAGCATATTGTATAGTCTTCATTCGTAGAAAGTGGAGAGAGAGAGAGAGAGAGAAAGAAGGAGAGAGGGAGTGAGGAAGGGAAGTAGGGGTTGTTCGTTGGAAAGGTCGGTAAGCAGGATGATGATGATTTAGAGAAAGCATCGCATGATTTAAAGGAGATTGAGGGGAAGAGGGAGGGAGAGAAGCTGAGGAAGAAGAAGACAATGCCCGCCACATAAGCCCTCTCTGCTTAAACTAACAGTTTTTGTAATGGAGGACTTTCATTAAAACCGATCAAACAATAAAAACTTGATAAAAAGGGGAAAAAAATTATAGGGATCCAATTTAAAACTGAGTCAAACTATAATAAGGATTGTCAAATTAATTTTTTCAAAAAAAAATTATGTTTGATCATTTA